CTGGTGATTCTCAGTCGTCTGGACCGTTCAAATGCTATTGCTTTTGGCTCTCTTAGGGGGCCACTCACCGAAAAATATCTTTCTTGGTTTTTACATACGCACTTGCGGTATACGGCCAAAGTAGCAGATAAAGTGAAAGAAACTGAGTACCAAGTTCCTGTCGGTTAGCCATCTACTTTGCTCCTTATTCGCCCCTTCATCTACATTGCTTGTAAATTAAATCACTTAACTGTGATAGTACAAAAACCAGATCGTATAACGAGGACTGCAGGCGGACGGAATCTAGTCTGCGCAGAGAAGTTGGGTTCAGCGACACTTTTGCCGTATAAGATCCCCATAGCACCATCGCACCGGGCACAACACTTGTCAAAATCGGTAAGCTCCAGTGGTCGCGGTGACAATAACACGTCCCCAATCATACTGCTGGTGAAAAATGAAACATATGGGGAAGGGCGCTACGCTTGACATCGCCTAAAAGAAAGCGAACCACTCAGCCGTCAACAAAGAGCGAACCTCTGACGACTGTAGCGTTTGTGAAGAATCGGTGTCGGAGGCTCAAATAGTGCAACATCTGTCTCAGATGGGTGCACCGTAACTGTGATAATGGTTTGCCAGGGCAGTATCACAGCTTTATGAGAGAGTACCCATGTAAATGGACGTGATATATGTGCCCGGAGCGCCGGAACTCACCCGCTATCACCACCGGCAAACTGGAAAACATGTTACAGTCAAGCACGCTACAAAGTACGAGCTCCAATAATCTTCCCTCAGAAACTGGTGAAGCTCCATAAGCGTGCAAAAGTGCCATTTCTACAGATAGGAACAAATCGGCTGCCACTCCAAGTAGGGCACCAGAAAAGTCTTTGCCTGTATCGCTGCAACCAAGACGATCCAACGGAACTGAACAACATGAGGAAATAGGTTTCGCTGAGAACGAATGGACGGAAGTGAATAGGGTAAAGGGTAGACCGGGAGCGCCGGCTACTAAGCCCAATATTCCACGCTCATAGAACAAGATAACGGATTCCATCACTTTGTTTAACATCCCTATACCAACAGACTCACTCCTAGAAAAACGAGAGCAGTCTGACAAGGAGAAGTGGATGACTACTCCGGAAGTTGGGAATAGAAACCATCTCAGCCAGCCTATGCCGGCTGTCCTGGTGAATTAAAGCTCCTCGAGACAAGCCACCACCCCTCAGGGTATCACCAATGACGGTGAAACAGTCGAGGAACATACTGCTTCTGTTACGCCGACCAGACATTGCAGGCTCCTACCCCATAAGGGTGAAAGTAGACAAACCTTGGGTCACCAGAGAGGCGGAGAGAAAGTTATCACCTAACGATCTGCGCGAAGCTGCAGCCTTGGTGCTATATGGAATACCTGAACTTTCGGGTGGATCCACAAAATGTGATGATTACCCCCATGATGTCGAGCAGCGGAGGTGTTTGGCGGCAGAAGCGATACTTGGAAATTTGCCCGCCAGCAGCATACGTAGGTTAACAAGACCTACCTGCTCGCAGAGCATTTCCCCACCAAGATTGCTGGCCGTACGCTATGACTGCAAAGCATCACTAACAGAAGCTTTCGCGCCATGGTACCGTGAAAAGACCACATAGGAGGTGCCTTACGATGCTGAGAGAGTAAACCATGAGCCGCCGGGCAAGAAGATATGAAGCAACCTTCGAGAACACTACAGGCAGTACCAGTCAGAAAAGAACTAGCTAGTGAACTACCCGTAGGCACAATACACAATACCGCCACGCCAGCAGCGGGATTCAGGGGCAGACCGAAAAATGGAGGCCTGCCAGCCCGGCAGGGACTGACAGTCAGAATCCGATACGCGGCACGCCAACCTCCAAACAAGTCACCATATCTCAATAAGCCTAGAACGTAGCTCATTGATATGCTTTTATTGCAACGCAAGAGGTCTTAGAGGTAAACTACTGGAGCCAAAAACGATGTGCCATAATCTGCAAGCAGATGTAATTCTCGTCGCGGAGGAATAGCTGTCAGCAGACATCGTGGATGAGGAAATATCTTTGCCCAACATGACCCCGTTCCGGAGGGGCAGACACATCAAACAAGGCGGAAGAATTGCCACGCATGTTAGCACACATCTAAAAGTCACGGAAGCGACTGATTGTGATTTCAGTTTACCCCTAGACCCCTTATGGTGTTGATTCACCATAAACCAAACCAAGTGCCCATTAGGAGTGGTACATAGGCCCCCGTTTGCCCAAGAGAGCATAAGGCACAATTTCTCAGTGCCATTTCAACAACCACTTCGGTAGCCTATGACCAGGGCCATGACCTGGAGACCTTAACACACCGGCGCTCAGCCAGGGATGTGGAGCAAGATGTGGGCATAAATCTTTCGAATGCAAGCCTCGAAACACGTTTATAGCAGCGGGGCTGATAGAGAAGGTTGGGGAAAGCACCAGATGGGGACCGGATGGATAAGGACCGCCACTGGACTATGTTCTAATAGACGATGATCTTTGGGTGGACGATACCTGTGTTCAACCCCCGGCAGGTAAAGGCGACGGCGCATTGGTGAGCCTCTCCTCGATAACCAAGGGGACACTACTTATAGTTGAGCCAGAAGTCCTCCGCTGTTACCAAAATCAAGGCTACCATCCCACGAACAACGAATTCCTGGGGGCTGTATGACCACAAGAATGGCGCTCACTACCGATAGACGAACACTGGATGCATACAAAAGATATTATCTGGAGCCCTTTGATAAGAATGTTCCAGGATTAACCGGACGGCCACCTCTCAGACGGTCTTGGGAAACTCGCGCAACCCAAGGGCAAGGGAAAAAAGAGGGCATTTCATCAGTGGCGTACATCACGCAAAGAATCAGACTTTCGCAGCTACAGGACGTTACGCAACTTATGTAACATAAGAATTCGTAATAACAGATATACACACCAAAAAACCTGGCTAAGTAGTTAAGCTACTATCCAAAAAGTCTGTTTCGGTTTACGTCACAGCGCAAGCCGACGAATGCGGGTTTTAACCCGATCACAGGGCCAGCTGAGGGGCCTTTGAACAGCAGTGAGATGGCGGAACCGTTGAGGAACTGGTTTGACGAGCAACTCGACCCAGTAATACATCCACTATCAACCTTAAGTCACGAAGTCCCAGGACTGTGATACAAAGCTGATGAACGCGAAGATTTCGTCAAACCGAGCGTTTGCGAAACTTTCAGCATTGAGAATAGGAATATCCCTGGGCTGTTATGATATAGGACCGGCGGTCCTAAGCAAGTGTGCCGAACTGCCAAGCATACCCATGCACAGCCTGCTCACCCACTAGCTGGAAGTAAGTGGACTCCTCAGAGAATGGAAATGCGCCATCCTTTCACCAATCTTCAAGGAAAGAGACCGAAAAAGCCCGTGCAATCGTTGACCACTGGTGTTACTTCCCATGTGGTCCAAAGTATTGGAAAGCCTGGTTTCAGATGTCGTTTGGGACCACCTGAAGTGTAACATCGTTCATACCACCCAGCATGGTTTGAGAACCGGGCGGTCATGTGCCACAAACTTGATGACCGCTTGGGATGACTGAACCGCTAGATGGGACAAAAGCAACCAATACGCATCATCCCCTTGGACTTGGCCAAAGCTTACGATAACGTTCCACACTGCCTCATGCTTGATAGTAAAACTTGCAAAAGTGGATATCACTTAACCGCTCTTAGCATGGTTTACAGTGCACCTAGCGGGCAGAGAGTTCTGTGCTACAATAGGCAGAACTCGATCAACCTGTAAGAGTTCAAAAACAGGAGTTTCTCGAGGAGTGATCCCTGGGCCACTCCTATTTTTATTATTCATAAACGACCTCCCCATTGAAATCTCCTCACCTATCCCCCTTTTCGCCGACGACGTCAAAATATGGAGGGCGACAGGTTACGAGAAGGATCCTAGGATACCTCAAAACGACCTGTTACAGCTGGGTTTAAGCTGTAGCCTGGAGACATGCAAGGCGATGTATCCCCGCTCACGGGGGCGATGAAAATCAGCTACGCTCTTAGCAAGCATGCAATCACCAAGGTATCCACAGAGAAGGACCCAGGGCCAAAGTTTGCCGACACACTGGATACTACTGGCATTTGTAAGGGAATGGCAGCAGAGGCAAACTCCATTATGCACTTTCTAAGAAGCCAGCTTGGATTGTCAACCCCAAAATTGTTCCTTAAGGATTTGAAACCCATTAGACCAGACCTAGGGGTGTTCAACACGATAGCTCCTCCACTACTAAAGAGACGCAAATTCTCTCGAGAAGGTGCAAGGAAGAGCAACAAAGTTGGTTGTCGGACTAACAGGCAAGACATATGCGCAAGGCCTCACGCAACTCAACTTGTTCACACTTAGGTATCGAAGAAAACGAGATGATCTGATAACAGCCTACAGGATAGTTCACCTAGTGAACGACCCTGGACAGGACGACCTTGTCGGTCCAAAACCAACAGTCCCGTGAAGGGGTCCCCCCTCTCACGCCCCACCGTAGGGCAATGACGAGAGTGGGATCTAACCTCTTCTCTCACAAGATATGTGCCCTATGGGACGCTCTGCCGAATGGAAGTGGCCACAGCTACATCACTCAGCTCCTTCAAACGATAACTGGATGAATATGTGGGTGCAAATGGCTTACCACGAACATTTGTCAGTAGCGACCTATCACATCCTTCCATCCTTGTACTCTCAAATCCTGCAACAAGATGCATCTCTCCCCCTTATTATTACCAGTTACATTTATCTTTTAATAGGTACCTTTCACTACTCTTTTTCTCACTCCCCCCTCTCACCCTGTTTCTATCACTTCTTAAGTAACGCCTAAGACTTACCTGTAGGTGTCTACAAAAACAGGAACTGTAAACGGTTGATTGATCTTATCAGCAGCTCCTCTGCCCTCCCCCCAAAACAAACCAAACTACAATCTCTAAATAAAATACCTCCAACTAGACAACCACTACCTCCAAAGCTCTAAACAGGAAGACACGGGGACTTCTGCGACCATTGAAGGGGTGCAACCGAACAAAAAGAAGAGAGTCCCAAGACCTAGAAGCGGAAGCTCAAAAACTACAAGTTTCCTCTATTCGCACTATTGATAACGGATCTTGGTATAATTTAAAACTTCTTGTCGACATTTCAATGAGCTTACAAGTGGAGCCTTTCTGAGCTTTAAATTCTTAAATTATGCAGGTAAAGAATGAAATGTCTAGGTTATTGTAAGTCGGCATATGAAATGATATTGGACAAAATCTAGGTGCAGGTTTTAAGAAGTTTGCGCTTCACGTCAGTTGTCTTAGTCTCAGGTACAGTTTTATTTCAGCATACTTTAAAACGTCTCCTTAAAACACAGCCTTATAGCATGTGGTCTAAAAAGGTTTTCTGCAGCAAAAAGAATTAAGTTCATGCCCCAATGATTGATATTGTCTCAGCATACATCTAGCAGAAATCACGTTTTTATCATCGCCTTCAATCTCCATAAAAGTCATCTGATTCAATGTCGGTTTTCCAATTGACATAAGGCTAGATTTTCAGCGTATAAATCATATATCAGGAATGTTTGGACGAACTTTGGAACGTTTGTAATCTTTGGTGCATTTCATGCAATGTGCCAAACATTTTGCCACTTATTTCTATCCAACGTATTCAGAGTGTTTACTGAGTTTGTATCGATGTCAGTTTAGGAGCTTTTACGCTTATAACTTTTTCTGGCCCCTTATCACTGACCGCTCAACACTAGTTCCCAAATGGTTGTTGCCGAAATAGAAGCCTTCACTTAACTGTCTTCCACACCTATAATTAGTGAATCAATATTTCGTGTGTCTCAGGACCTAGGTGTAGAAACAGAGAGTAAATAGGACGAAAAAGACCTGATTACTGGTGACTTAATCTGTAAGCTCTAATTGTGACAATTTGACACTGTGTGTGCTTGAAAGACTCTATTGATGGGGCCTGAACAACTTACGGAGTAAAAGTTATACCTGATTTCTATCCTACTGTGTTCAAGTTCTTACTTCCGAGTGTTCCTAAGATTTGTATGAGAGCTTACCTTAAGCAACCGGTAAAGTAGGTGACCCGAAGTGTTTAAAATGTTACACTTTATTAATAGGTCACCTTTTGAGTTGTCTATATTCCAAGGGGTATATATTCAGTGCTGCCATGATTTCTTCGCATAGTTTGAACCTCAATCCATGAACTGATTTGGTGCAACGCTTCTGGATGAACTATAGATGACTCCTTTTTAACATGGAGGAGAAACCATATGAAACTGTTAAGGATTTGATAGAAGCATCTGTGATCAAACTTTCCAAAGAATGGTTGTTGAGTTACAAGAACCAGATTTTCACGAAATGCATTTTTGTTACATTTAGCTTAAGATTTAACCTGATGCAGAACTAAGACACCAATGTTAACTGCGATTGGCCCGATAAACCGATGATAGTCCGATACTGCTCGCATCATTGCTGTATTTGGCCCGTTGAAAATGTTGACTGCGGGTGATATGACAATCGATAGGATGTAACCTCAAGGTAGCACTAACTTTTAGCACACTTGGGAAACTTCGAAATATGCCTTATGATGCACTTAGAGATGTACAGTATCTTCCTCGAAAAACAGTTCACTCTTGACAATATCATAAATCTCAAAGTGTGCCCAAAAGGTCTTCCTGCAAAGATCCAAAACTACAGGCACTCACGAAAATTACCGTAGTTGTCAAGTTCTTAAGTGCCCCACAAGTTTTTCCCTGAAAATCCCAAGAGTTACGAAGTGCATCTGAGGTGAATACAGATTACTACACATAAGGGTTAGGGTATCCGTAGTTCAAGATTCTACCTTCGGATGTGACTATCGATTAGCCCTTTCGCAAAGGCTTTCATCTGTCCAGCTAAATCCCTTAAATTCACATTCTTGTGCAGACTATTGACATCAACTAAGCGACCCAACATCCTTTCTATTCAGTTAACACGTTCGTTCATAATTGTCAACTGACATTTAGTACAGAAAGCTACATAACTCTGTGCTTGGACATTTGTGGTGCATATAAGTATCATAAGTTAGTCTGATATGAACTTACTGCATCGCGGGTAAATGCGAACAAATTGAAAAGGCCTCACCGGATAAAGATTGGTTGCGAAAGTCAATAAATCTTCTAGTCTGACTGCTTGAAAATTCAGGGACCAGCGATTGGCTTCCGGAAGATTGGCATGTCATTTAAAAAATGAAATGCACTCATTAACCTCGCGCATCTTGGTGCAGTAGACAATAAGATAGACATATTGTGTGGTTAGTGATGTTGACTGGCTGTTCAAACCTCGAAAGGTGGGGCTGGGCTTGAACCCGTAACCTATTGGTTGGAAGTCATCTCCCTAAACCAATGAGCCACACCTACAGATGGCATGCCAAAAGTAAAACTATCTTCCAGAAGCCTAGGCTGATAATCAAATACCATGCCCTATGGAAGTGCCTCGAGAGTTGGATACCATTATCAGCAGCAGTTGGAAATTGGCCGTATAGTATGACGCCTATCGCCCATGACTGCTCAGATTATTACTACCTAAAATTTACTATTTTGTTGATGTTGCTGAAAACGTCGATGACATTATTTGAGATCAGTCAGTGTAAGTATCCTAATTTACTGTAGCATTAGACAGATGAGTAATTTTCCTAAACAAAAACGAGATATTTTATCGAAAGCTTCCCTGTGTAGAAGAAATCGCTGCTTGTAGATCACCCGTTCTTATGAAATATCTTTTAGTCAAATCTTTTAAATTTATATTATACAAACACTTGACAAAGTAACCTAGAAACACTTGCTTATATATTCACATTCGTGTCTCACATTTTCACTTCAATAGAGGCAAAGTTGTTTCAGCCTGTCTTATGGTGTTCAAGTCTTCAGCCCTCAATTTGACCAGTTACTCCTTGCAGTAACTTTCTGCACAAAGGTCTAGTTTCTCCTTAAAGGATTTGATACCACTTAGTCCGGTAAGGAGTTTTAGTAGCTGACCACTCTATGTGAGAAGTGTAGACTCACGCTTAGTTGATTCGGTTTTTAAGTTTTCCCGTAACCTCGGAGATAGTCAATTCTTGAGGAGGAAGAATAAAATATGAATCGTGAAATCACTTTCAGGAATAGAAAATGAAAATATTGGGTCACTTCTTTTCCTATGATAAGACAGATCCTGTGAATATGAATGGTCCTCACAGGATAGTTTAGATAGACCAACCACCAATTTCGTAGCTACTGTTTGAACGTGTTCTAGTGACTTGAATGTAGTATTCGAGATGGGGTCGGACAAACATGCGAAACATACCAACCATCAAAGCAGTTGCAAGCTCTATGAAGAGATTCAGGTACCCGGAACCTTTTCACTGCAGCTTCTAGATGTGAAGACATCTTCAAGTCATGGCCAACAGTTACTTCTAGGTCTTTGTTTTCCTGGACGTTAGTTACTGATGTCCCACGTATCACATATTGATGGCAACTGCTATGAACAGTAAGCATAACTACACACTCCATATAATTAATTCCTAAAGACCAGTATTTGGATCAGTCAACTAGTTCATTTAAGTTTACTTGTAATGCATATCTGTTTGTCTCGTTACGGGTAACCTTCCTTATTTTCATGCCGGTGAACAACAACTTCGGTGACTCAATCACATCTAGAAGTTTGTTGACATGAAAAAGGAGAGGACCCATAATTGTTCCTAGGTGAACACTCGTCGCGCGTTGTCACTTCTTATCCTATTTGCCCTCACTTTACCTCCTATCACATAGAAATTCTTTAATCAAGACCTACAACGTAGTTTCAAACGCAAAACTTGGGATCTTCCTCATTAATCCAACGGAAAGCCTTCACAAAGTCATTGAAAGCAAATTTTACATAAGCTGCTAACCATCCCTCTTTCCCTATGAAAGTAGTTAAATAGGAGAGACCATTTTTGAAAGCATTGTTGTAAGGATTTAAGAAGACTGATTTTCGACATGGCTGGCCACTCTTTCGTTGATCTTTTTGATTACTTTAATAACTCTGCTAGTCAAGCTAACGCGACGACAGTTCGTTCCCAGTTGTTTTTTACCTGCTCTGAATACCAAGCTGACTATAACGTTTTCGCAGTTGCTCGACCCCCGAGTGTGGTAGGGACATGTTGAGTAATTCAACAAGCTGTCTATCAATAATGCCAGCTAAAGAAGACAACACCCTTGGGTGCAAGCCATTATTACTAGGAGATTTTCTAGGTTTAAGGTTGTTCTGCAGTCGAAAGACTTTCTCTCTTATGTACACTAGACCCATTGGTATGGCATTTCTAATTCGAACAATAATAGCTCTATCTACTAGGAAGGGTACATTGAAGTCGTCGAGGAGGTACTTGGGTTCATACAGATTAAACCCAGCCAACTTCTCCAGACCGTTACTTGACGAAAGAGTTAAGACCGCATCCCTACGTTTAGTTCTTTTATTATATGGGAACAACCGTTTGGACGGCCCTGACAGTTAATCACAAGTTTCCTTCCGTGTGTTATTTTGAACCGTGTAACACTTGATTGACATATGTTTTTAACTTACATTCAGCTCTCCCCTCTTTTGGATTACTCTAAGTTCTAGTGTGACATGTGACAACGTGAATCGTTTTGTAGTAACACCAGGTTGTATTTTGTTGGTGTCTGTCCACCTGTAACTGAAGGGAAAACTTAGAGTAAAATGTTTTCTAATTTTCCTGCTAAATCTAGCTCTTACTTTGGTGGTAATAATACCACGTCGTAGAAAAAGAGATCAAGCAAACAACAAGATATGACAACGGTAATATAAAGAGATACATTTGTGTCACTGTCAACGATTCTGACACTTCTTTACAGTTAGGAACTTCATGGGCTGCTTTTATTTTCTAACCTCATCAATTTCAACTTTTTCGAAGCTGATTGTATTTGGGCTTAGATTGCGGGTATGGGTACACGGCGATTCAACATTTCTCAGTCATATCAGTCGATTAAATTGCACTTTCTTCGTTTACAACTAGATGCATTTGTGGTCCACTGCTTCAACCATGGAAGCCAATTAAGCGAAAGCTTTTTTTATTGTTACGAAACATTTATCATGGCTGGTTTCATTGTTGGCGTGGAGTTGGTGACGGGTTCAAACCCCGCTCTATCTACCAAGGTCTGGGCAGTCAGATGGTATCGCCAGCCTTCACACAAAAGATGTGGGTCATTGCCTACTGCACGAACGTGCAGGTCTTTGCTGAGTGCATCTTAATCTCGAATAACATAGAAAAGTGATTCATGTTTTAAGGGATATAAAAAAGAGTCTAGGTGGTAATATCGAGAATGAGAATTTATCAAATGTTATGTATTTTATACTTTTTAAAAGATACACCGATCAAAGGCAAGATAGAATTGCTATTAAAGAGTTTATGTATTAAAATTGAACAAAGTCATACTTTTGAATGATTGCTTTCTATCTTTTCAGGGTTATGTACATGCAAGTGGGGCTAGTAAATTAACCTGTTATCTTGTAATCACTTGACTGTATATAATGTTTTCGGTTTCACGTATTCGGCCACAACCACTTATCACACAGCTTCATCATTTCAAATCTCACTTTAGTCAACCTTTCTTAAATTATGCCAGTACACATGTACTTAGTATTAATGCGTCTAAAACTCGTAAAAATACTTGGAGTTTGAAAACAATCCAGTCGAAACAGGCCTTCTGCTCAAAAAGTTCAACTGGTCCTGAATGCGCATTACCAGCTGTGACCTCATCATCAAGTACTACTGAGCTGTCAAATCAAGATGTGATTGAAGGGAAAATGTATATTGAATTTACTTGCAAGGTAATAAAACTATTGCGATAAAAAAAACCTGACAATCTTTCTTTCTCATTAGAAGTGCGCTACTCGATCCAGTAAATATTTTTCAAAGTTAGCCTATGAAAAGGGGATAGTTATTATCCGTTGTGATGGATGCCAAAGTCTACATTTAATTGCTGATAATCTTGGATGGATTAAGGATAAGCATTGGTTGGTTACTTCACATGTTGAACGTTTCATTTATTGATTAAAGGAAATTAGAAGATTTTGTCAAGGTTGACAAGAAATCTCTTTGCATCGTTTGAAGGGTTAATAATATGAAGAGGAGTTCACTATCGACTCCAACACTGATCAGGTAAGCCTGGATGCATATTTGTGACCGGATTGATGTGAACATTCTTCTATTGCCATTTTCCTAAGCAGTTGTAACTGTGAAAAAAAAGGTGTAAAGTCGTAATTACCAGATATTTCTGGTCATGATCTAAATTTTATTCTGCCATCTTTACTTTCAATATCCAGACCTATAGTCTAATACAACGTTGCTAGGTTACATCTGTAAATCCGTTAATCTTTTCTAAGTTGGGTTTATTATGACTAGTATTAGGCACAGAAAGCCGTAAACACCTAGTTTTCGCGCTTGTTGCCACTCATGAGCATGGTGTATCCTCAACCTTATGTGAAGTCTTACCTTTAAGGTGACTGAAAAAAGTTTTAGTCAACACCGCAGTTTCTAAAATTGGCAAGTGAGTAGTAATCTGAAGACTTGTGGTCCTATATCTCTTTTAATAGAACGTAATGGTATATATGAAGTTAGAAAGGTACTCATCATGCTTGATTTTGTTCTAGGTGACTATCGAACAAGAGACACTATGTGTTCTCAAATGATTTTTCTCAACTGAAATAGTTGTTCGCAGCATGAACCATACGTGATGTTTTTGCGAGGTCATTCTGGATTAGGACACTTGAAATCCATATTAAATTGAATGCCCAGCATCTTGCAATAAGTATTCATTCATTTTCGAAATAAGCTCGGTTCGTAGTCAAAAACCAGTTGCATTTCTGAAGACAATCTGTAAGATCCTGCCTGACAATAACTACTCAGAAAATTCTTCTCGATCATGAAAAAATAAAAAGCATATTTATAATTTTGTGCTATTTTATCGCTTAGATTGTTCATTCCCTATACGAAGACGAATAACCACTTAACCCCTATTTTTATCAACTACATTTCTCATTTTAGAATATGTGAACCAGGTGAACACACCTATTCTACAGCGAAAATGATCTCTCTTTTATCAGTGCATTTTAAATTGTAAGAAAAACGAGTTGACCATGCCTGTTTTTTCATCATTGTACAGAGCAGCAACAAAAACATGTTTATAAATTTTTCTGAAAACTATCTGTTTAATTGGTTTTGCAGTATACATGTTCTTTACAATAAAATACACTCGTTAAGAGCTTACACGGTGTGCCCTAACTGATTATTTCCAAATGTGACTACAACTCTATGTCTGTGTCACCAATAGCGCGATTTACATTTTAATAAACTAAGGGATACCACAAACATTTTTGAAACAAATAGTTCCTCTAGTTTTCAGATTCAGCTTACCGATAGATATCAAACAAAATGCAGGGTCAGGAGCTTCCTGAAGACTGATTTTTGACATGTAACACCAGAGTGTGCATAACAATATCGTATCATTTTACTAATGATTGCTAAACCATCTTGGTGGTTTACCATTTCGTAAAAACAATAATCCATTTTCACTGCAGGATGTAAATGCCCGATATGATCATAGACAAAAGTTACCGGCGAAATCAACGTAGGACCTCGCACACAGATGCATTTGCTCCAGTTGCCACACTTCACGGTAGTATACTATAAGCAGGTGGATATAAAAGAGACTGATATAAAAGTAGACAAAATTGTGTGAGAGAAACAACCTGAAGATAACAGTTAATGCAACTATTCAATATTGCTGACACGATGATTCCACCAAACGTGAACAATGCTACGAAGGCGCCTGTGGTCGAAACACTGCAACTGCCTCATGTCTTCTACTTTGAATGGTCATATCTCATAGCCGTATAACAGGGCATGAGGGACTCCAGCACAGTATACTCGTCCTTTGATAAACAGTTGGAAATCATCCCAGTCGACGTCAGAGATGATGCAAGTTGGCGAATACCAAACGGGCCCCCTGTATCCGAGCTGAGATTTTGTCATCAAACAGCTCACCGAAGCCAATGCAGTTCCTCAAGTAAATGAAGTAGTCAACATATTCCATCATTTTACTCCCTATCATTAAACTGGGAGCACTTGTAGTAGACCAGTTCTAGAGCATCATTTTACATTTGATAGGTGACAGCGAGACGCAAGCCAAACATGCTCAGATTTCCGCTCATGGCATTGAGCAGACGCTGAATTCGGTCAGCGACTACACCTAGCAGGACAATATCGTCTAGATGACCTCCAGGGAGTAGGTCAATCTCTGTGAAGTCAGACGTACATAAGGTTATGCCCATTAGTACTTCAATGACGAAGTTAGGTAAAGATGGATACAGTGAACATCCCTGGCAGACACCTAGATGTCGTCGGTTGTGATGACAACAATCCATAAGCCCTGCGACGGCTCCATCAGTTCCAGTAGAGAACTTTGATTAGCGTCATATACTTGTTTGGGACACCCTTCGCAGTCAGACACTGCCACAATACATCACGATCGACTGAGTGGAATACTGTCTTCAGATCAAGACATATGGCGAGTGTTGGGTACTGGTCGGTAGATATGCCTGTGTTCCAGAACCTATCAAAGGGTGAAAAGATAATCGATGAACCCTCGTTCAGTTGTCTGGCAACCGCCTGCTTTTCTCGAGCTCCAGTTAGGCGTCGGATAACTTTAGACACAATATTAGTCCCTCATGGTTGTCACAAAATCTCACCCATTCTTATAGACTGGGGTGATCAGTGAAGTAGATGAATCTGACGGCACTGCCTCTGATTCTCATACACTACCTGCTAACTCCATCATTTTAATGAGCAGCCTCCGAACTTCACCCTTTAAAACAGGTAGCAAACAGTCAAGTCCTACTGCTGTACATCGGTACAGCTTCAAGGAGAGATGGGGGACCGATATCTAAGTCCCATTCAGGTTTGGGCTGCATAGTGAGTAACTGAAGCGTTGCTGAGGACCAGTTGGACTGCGTTTGATAGTGACTCGCCCGTGTTAGGCGCCTGTTGTGAAACGCTATCAGCATCTCGTTTCCGGTGATGGTTTCACCCACTATAGTCTTATTCTTACCAATATCCCTGATAAGCTCGAATAACTGCCGGGTGTTGCTGAGCGCTGTCTTCTCCATCTCTCCCTTTCATTACTCGTCATGATCGACGTGAAGACGATCAGTTAACTTGCATTCCAGTCGCTTTCATCTTGATTAGAGCCAGTTGAAACCAGTCCTTTCGCACCAATCATTTCGAATGACGTCGCGGAAATCCAATGACGTTTGCTAACCATCGGGCGTAGGTTATCAGTTGTCTTTACCACTGTTTCTATACCAGACTTCATATCACGCCAGGTTTCCTCAGGATGAGAGTTGGCGTTATGTTCAGATAAACGCCCAGTCATCTCTTCCTTAAATAAGTACTTGGCATCTTCATCTTTTAATCTAGCATAGATGGACCGCACTGCCTCCTGCGACCATGAAGGTTCAGGCATATACGAACTCGTACTGGCGCGTAATCGGAGTCTAAACTGATACTCCAGAGTGACAATCCTCCATCGATGGCTTATAGCAATGTGATCTATCTGTATCCATCGTTGGTTTGGAGTCGGTGGACGCCATATGAGACAGTATCTCTCCTTATGCCTAAAGTTAGCGCTAACCAGAAACAAGTGGTTGTCGGAACAAAATTGCATCAAATGATCACTGTTGTCGGTCCATTGTCATGCCATCCCGTATATGGCTCCAAGATGCTTTTCCGATTGCCTGTTTACCTACTTGAGCGTTAAAGTCACCAACCATTATGACTATATCTGGACGTTTTTCTTTCTGTAACAAAGTTAACTTATAGACTTCATCCTTTGTATCCTCTAAACCGCAGTTGGTGGAGATTATGAATAGGCATTGCCTAGTCTCATGACCCTTCCTAGTCCTTACGGACCCAGCCAGTCGAACAGCCCACAGACGAGTGTTCACTGGAAGCTAGTGCAGGAGTGCACTCTCTGTCCTACAGCTCAACGGTACACCTACACCAGCAAGTCCATGACAGCTAGCCATTGCGTGTCCGGAAACACTAAATGTGAATTTTGAAGATTCAGTACAAGTCCTGTATGCGTGTCTCGGAGACACAGCATACATTCTTGGCTACAGATTCCCGTTTTGAGAGCAACAGCGGCTATCCGATTTGGTATACAGTTCGGATGTTGTAAGTTCCTACACGAAATCAATGGCGGGGCTTTAGGAGACTAGGAATGAGGTTTCGAAAACGTTGATCATTGTCAATAGTTGCAGAGTGAGAGGTTGAGTAAGGCTTAAGAGGCCCAATAATAGAATCAGGAGGTGAAGGCAAAGGCGAGGACAGATGAATATATGTTGTGTTTGATTTGGGCCTTGTGAACTACTGAAAGAGTGCCGGCCAACTGATACTTCCCGGCTGCCTACACCGCAGAAGGCGATTTCTTCGTAAAGTATCTGAAAGAGAAACAGATTCGTGTGACCGCAGAGCTCATTTGACATCTGCTTAAGGCCTGTCACATACAGCGTTTGTGGGTTGTTGTTTTGAGGTTGTTCTAACGCCAGATAGATCTGTACCGGTAGACCGTGGGGCATGGTGGTGTTATTTTTTAGATCTACTTTTTTAACCCCCTCCCTTCCGTTGAAAAGGCAACACCAGCGTAGCACTGCTAGTCACCGAAGGGAAACACCCTACTGCTGTCACACCTCATCCAGCTAGCAGGAGTACGACTTCACTCATCATAGTGTAGAAATTTCCACTGCAACGGTAACTGCTTTTTGTCTAACCCCTATCCAACAGACTTCTGGTATGGTAGGACCTAGGGGGAAAAACCGTTTTACCAGCATAGCTCGTTGGGTCATTTTGATACGCAAGCCGGATCACCACGTCAAGATAGCAGATATCGGTTAGGCTATATCCATAGAGGATAGGGGTAGAGACAATAAGCGGTAGGTAATACATGCTGATTACGAAAGACTTATATTCGTAAACGAAAGTCACGAATCTAGATGAAACACAGCCGTGAAACTAAAAATTTGGTGGGCAAAATGTCTTGACTGTAATATACCATCTAGAAAAGGCAGGTGTAATCGGGAAATATTTGCACAAGAGAAATAGTACATACACTGCGCCACAATACAACGAAATATAAGTATACTATATGTTTAGTTCATTGAGATTTGTTTTTCATCTTCGGTCTGGACTTCGGACCCCAATGTTTCTCAGGATTCAATTGATATCTGTCGACAAGGAAACGAAATACATTATTAATTTTATATATATATATATATATATATATATATATATATATATATATATATATATATATATATATATATATAATGATGCAATAAGGGAATAAATACAAACAGACACGAAACGAACAATTTGTTTGAAGGTCAAGTTATTTCAAAGATTGGAAGGGCTGACTAAACCGATGAAGATTCAGTAGACTAAAGAGCTAATTAAATCATTGGAAATAGAACAGAAAGTAGTCAAATGTGAGATTTGAAAACTCTAGAAAGCTAAGCAATTAGGGTGATGAGATCTCCTGAAGTTCATCAATTCACTAAATCCTGTTTCTTTGGTCATAGATTAACATTATTTATTGCTATGCAGATAAAACTGCTGACATGCATACAATGGGAAGCCCTAGTTTACAAACAGCAGAAAAATTTTTTAAAGCGCAAATCTTCTAAACGTTTTTACTATACATTTACAACGAAGGAAAAATAAGTGCCCCAAGTGAAAAAAGTATTACTTTGTATATTCCTTGATCATCCGTGAATAAAAGACGAACTAGAACCCTGTATTGGTGGTATACAATAAATGATATTAGTTTTGCGTCGATTGTATGACCAATATCGACGGAATGTGACAAGATTTAGTTTCTTATTGACTTTAGCTTATATATCATTTAGACTGGCATAATGCAATACACAGAACTCTGTGTATTATCAGATATGTTGTTTTTTAGAAGAGGTTTGGTACTAGTAGAAAGAATATGGTGAAGAACAAGGAGTTACTGAGAAGCTGTTGCGTTACTTTTGTGAACTCACGCTTCTGTTTTACTCTACCTCTACCAAGCATAAGATCCTGAGTGTTCGATCTTCACCTTACAGACCAAAGGTAGTACAGCTCAAAATCAGTCATAATGCCATAGATATGCGCTATCACTTTCACGACTATAAGCCTTCATTTAATAATTGTCTTCCCTATCATACACTTTTGTCTACTTTAGCAAAAATCTTTTTCTACCAACTTTCTCTTGTTGTACCATGTGGCAATTTAAACCAGTTCACTTTTTCAAAAGAGCTAGGTTTTATATTGACTTCTTTCTGTCTGTTTGCTTCGGTTACGGGTGCTCTACTCCATAGTCCTAATTAAGACTCTATAAAGGATATCTCACAGTTGTTTAGTTATCTTGATATGACGACTATGGACAATAAATTATATCTGAAACGTAATCTAGTAAACAATACTCTTCCTTCACCGTGTGATAAATCCAATAAATCAATAAAAATGGAATTACACTCTACCATAGTGCACAAGTTTTACTCTTATATTAAGAATGAATTTTGTTGCAAAGACTTTAATCACTCCTAAATTTGGCAAATTCACGTTTCATTCTTAGGTTACCCATAATTCAAATAAAAATTTATTTTCGATAAATTATGAGTAAAAATGTGCTTGAGAAATAGAAATTTGTCGTCACAGTATTCCATCATTTCAAAAGTCATTTGATAGTCATGACGTGTAACAAGAAACATCGTGCATTACTGACTTCATGAAGAGTAAACTGTGGAAAACCTTGTTGGTAGTGGTACATATCAATAAGATACATTTCAGCAAATGCTCTTGCCGAATACACATCCACAACTGATATGAGGGTCAAGACCTCGATGGTCGCAGCAAGGTTTGAATCAATAGTTGACAATTTGAACGCGTATAATAATAATGTGTGGTGTAACTTATACTTCCGGCACAGGTTTATGTACTGGGCTACAAACCATACTGACAAACTTGGGGTCTCCGAGACGAAAAGAATCAGTGGTTGAGGACTATCGATCAAATGGCTGAAAATTGGTCACAACAGCGTAGATGTATTCATTGTACCACTAACCAGTCAGAGGAGACATCATACTCAAATGAACACTCAAGAACAGAAAACAATAAAAAGACTAAAAAATAAGGAAGATATCGTTATACTTCCAGCAGACAAAGGATGCGCTACAGTAGTCATGGACAAAGAAGACTATATCAAGAAGGCAGAGGAATTACTCAAAGACAAAATGTGTATCAACCACTTGAAACCAACCCTATCAAAAAGTTCGTCAGCCAGATCAATAAAACCTTGAACAAACTCTTCAAAGCAGAAGAAATAACAAAGCAAGACAAATGGAGAATAAAATCGAATGGACCTGTCCTTCCTCGGTTCTACGGCAGACCAAAAATACATAAACCAGACATCCCTCTATGACCAATTGTCTCACTTCCGGGAACTTCAACATACAACATATCAAGAGAACTTTCAAGAAAACTGAAACACCTCATTCAATCATGCGGACATTCCATCAAGTCATCAACAGAATTCTTAGAAAAGATCAAAAATATTAACATAGAAAACAATGAATTAATGATATCCTTCGATGTCACAGCACTATACACATCCATCGAACCTCAATTGGCCAAGGAAATGATATCCCTGCTGATCAATGAAGACAAAAACCTTTCAGAACGCACAAAACTCAAATGTTCAAGTCTGATGGAACTCATCGACCTTTGTATGACAACATACTTCCAATTCAACGACAAGATATACAAACAGATGAAAGGAACTCCAATGGGATCACCGATATCCGGATTAATAGCAGAAGCAGTGATGCAGAGACTGGAAGCCATTATTCTACCTGTGATCAAACCAAAAATTTGGATTCGTTATGTAGACGACACTTTTGTCATCATTAAAAAAGATGATATAGAAAACACCCACAGTTTGATCAACAACGTTTTCAATGACATCAAATTCACAATGGAGAAAGAGTCAAACAACCAACTACCATTCCTGGATGTTTTAATCAGCAGGACAAATGCCGGAAAGCTGGAAACCCAAGTGTACAGGAAGCCAACACACACTGACCAAATCCTCAACTACAACAGCAACAACCCAACAACACACAAAATCAGTTGCGTGCAGACTCTATTCAAAAGAGCGAGAACACACTGCAGCACAACAACTTCACGGAGAAACGAAGAAAATTACCTGATGTCCACCCTAAAGAAGAACGGCCACCCACGAAACTTTATCAGAAGATGCCTATCCCGTGCATCACCAACTACAAAGTCACCGACAGAAATCAACAAACGCATCGTCCTACCATACATAAAGAATATATCAGAAATCACAACAAGATTGCTGAGACCACTTGGAATTGGTGTGGCTCATAAACCAACAAATTCCCTCCAAACACTATTATGCAGACCAAAGGATGCAACAAACAAAGAAGACAAACCGAATATCATTCACAAAATCAACTGCAATAACTGTAGTCAGCACTACATTGTACAAAGCGGCCGCCCTCTTTGCCTTCGTCTACATGAGTACCAATTGGCTATTAAACGCCACTACATTTCGTCACTCATTTCAATGCACGTGGATAATTATGGACATGAATTCAATTTCGACAATGTAGAAATTTTGGACAGAGGAAACACAAAGAATATCAGAGAATTTCTAGAAGCTTGGCATTCAGGTCAGTCAGCAATCAATAGATGCATAGACATAGACCCAATCTATCAACCAATAAGAAAAGTGATAAACGACAGAAAGGTCAGAGGTGAAGCAGAGGAACAGCCAACAGGAAAGTCTATACAATCAATGACACAACAATCGAAGGAAACAACCAATCACAGACCACATCGTCAGATCAAGCTACTAAATCACTCACGGAGAGATAGTGACAGCTCACTTCATACTGAAGTTAGTGCTGATGATGTCGTCTAGCAAGTCGATGAAAGCTTCACGATTAAACAACCCAGCTCAGAGAACACAATACAATCAAGTACTTTTACTTACCTGAGCAACCCATCATCCCGTGAAGGAGGATTGGCAAGCGGATGACGAGTAAAGGAAACTAATGGATTGATTGGCCTGACCAATAGATTAGCGCGTACTACTTGATGGTTTGGAACATTCTCCGGTTCGGAATCATTGTCTTCCTCATCTGGTGAATCACATATGTTCTTATTAGCGTGACGCTTACGTTTTAAACGTCTCTTCTCTCGAACGGTGATTTTCTCTGATGCTTTAGTTTCTTCCTTGGAGTTTTCCTCACCATCTCCCTTTTGAGTAGGGTTTTGTCTTTCATAGTGTGCCCGAAAACAGTCGAGTACAAATGAGTGCGGTGCATCAGTTTTCAAAGATTTTTTATCAGCATGCGAGCAGGATACACGGTAGTTGGCATTCAGAAGACAAGAGCTGACAAGTTGCGAAAAAGGAAGATGAGGGTCTCATTAAGTTTGTTTTTATTAATAATATGCAATCAACAAGTTTTATGTAAGTAGTACACATTTTTCACCGTACAGCTGTAATTACAACCAAACGCCGGTTTTAGCTGAGTAACAACAGATGTGGAGCTGTAACTCATTGGTCTGGGTAGTTGACTTACAACCCGTAGTTCACAGGTTAACCCTCCAATCAACCTAGTAGCAAAGGAGTCTTATAGCCCTCACACAGATGTGACTCATCGCTTAGTGGATAACCCTGCATGTGTATACCAAGCTGCAAAAGAAAATTTAGTAAACTCGGGTCATATGCACCCGCCGCCACATCGGACCTCTTTAGTTAGTGCCTACATCCCTTCTGGAGCTGATATGTAGATTTCCAGCGAAGAGTGATTAAATGCCACACAGGTATGTGATATTGTACAGGTGAGATACAACCCAACATTCCTGTACACATATCCACGAACTACGTAGTTAGACACATTTACTGTATGGGGGCTAAGGATAAAAGTTGAATATTCAAGCCACTTTTAATTAAGCGAGGTTGAAATGTATAAGTCACTGGTTGTAAATCTAATAGTTAAGTTAATGAACCACAGCTCCTGTTGTTCAACCACGTTTTGAAATTTTGTCTTCGATACCAGGTGATATGGAGTTATAAGTACTGGGTCAATGATGCTTTTCGATTCTTAGTCATATGTAGGAGAGAGTTACAGACCTAGAAATGTTGGCGCGGTTGTGTAATTCAGCTGAATATTAGAATTGGAATTCAACTTCGTTATCTTTCTACACACGATCCAGATAACATAGTTCAACGATTTTAAGCGAAAACTTCAGTTCCATCCCCAAATTCACAGTTTGACAGCTGTTTCCAATATTCATTTTCGCAATTAAGTTGTAAAGAAACGAAAAGAATTCAGGGAAAAGAAAATTTCCTGCTCAACGATAACATACATTAAAGCAGAACAGTCTTATTTATATTCAATACAAATGGATAACAGTTTTTGATTCATCACAAAGACGGTTTATTTGATGCACATAACAATCAGAGACAATAAGAGATATAGACAATGGAGAAAGTAAGGTGAGAATTGTTATCGGAATTTTAGATTTGCAAACAAATAAATATTGAACGCGATGTTGCTATCGCACCTCAGTAACCCAGTGGATAATGTGGGAACCAATGAGCGCTTGGTCCCACTAAATGAAGATCCTAACACTCATTCGGGTATATGTATATCTAACACGCTAGTGACGAATGTAACCCAACTTGCACCTTGTACTCTACATTGTTAGTCACTACGAGATATATAAGGCAAGAATTTTCAGCAGTCAGGTAAGAAGGTTGACTATCTACTTGACAGGTTTAACAAAAATGAAGAACATGATAAGGTCGATATTGAGAGGGATATTAGCGAGTTACTTATTGAATCATGAAACAAGAAAAGTGAAGCAGAGGGACAATCATGACAAAATTAGCATCTGAACAAACTTCTTCTGCATATTCAGTTCAGGTTTAAAGTGATGAATTGTTAGTGCTTACACTATATGCAAACTGTAGAATTACATTTCATTTGAACTATTTGGGATGTGAGGTCTGTTATCCGATTCGGTATAACGTTTGGACTTTAAAATCTCCAATGGGAAGTTAGCAGTGTGGCCCCAGAAAACCATGGATGGTATTATGCTGGCATGAATATTTAGATGACTGGCATCATCTCTGACGTCGACTGGGATGATTTCCAACTGTTTATCAAAGGACGAGTATACTGTGCTAGAGTCCCTCATGCCCTGTTATACGGCTATGATATAGCCATTCAAAGTAGAAGACATGAGGCAGTTGCAGGGTTTCAACCACAGGCGCCTTCGTAGCATTGCTCACGTTTGGTGGAATCTTCGTGTAAGCAATATTGAAGTCAGGTGAAGGGTACTGGGCAAGACAAGCAAGTCGATTGATGAGGTTGTGAACTACCATCGACTGAAGGGGCTTGAACATGTTTTGGGCATGCTGAGCCACCACCTACTTCGTACTTGTTTGGAAGAACGCTCATAGTGGCCAGACCAAAACGTGGCACCAGTTCATGAGGTCTCTGGTTGTCGGTCTCAGTTGTGTGGGGAGATTCAAACTGTCTGGGTGGTCCTATGTTGATAATGATGATGATGATGATGAGTCGTCAAGACGATAGGAATCAGTGGTTGAGGACTCTTGGTGAAATAGCTGAAAATCAGTCATAATGCCCCAGGTCTACTCAAAATTTTGATGTCTTTTAAAGTTTGAATATTCTCCTGAACCTTAATTTTTAAATACTTCTCTCCCCGCATATCGCTTTGTTTACTTTGACAGTGTTTTTCTATGTGCTTGCTCTTTGTTTACTACTATGAAGTAGGGTAAATTGAATCGATGCACTTGTGTGCAGGGTTCTACTTTGATTTTGTCCGTCTGTCGGATAAGAAGCAGGAGTTGACTCTGAAACCATGTATTACTCATTTGACGACTACAGAATTTTCGTTCCTATTTCGGGAACAATGTCTGTGACTAGTAGGAACATTACTCTGACGTCCTAAGAGTTTCGTTAACTCAAGATAATCAAAGTCGCAAACTTAATGTTGCATGGAAATAGAAACAGAGAATAAAGACAGGTTGTGTTGTTTTACGTTTGCATAAAAGTAATTAAACCATTACAGACATGAAATCAAGCCAGAAGAGATAGAAATCAATTATTAGCAGATAAAAAAAAACAGGTATTTTTCACTTTCAAAAAAGTACTTACTGTAAATCGAGTAATTTAGGTAGGGTACAGCCGTAAGCTGATGCTAGTTGGTCAAGTTCGTAATATAAAGGTACATCAGGTAGTTCTTCATACGCCACTGTAACCATACCTATGATACGTTTAAGCGTACCATAGTTCTTACTCACTAATGGCTCACACTGAACTGTTGATTCACTGGATATTTCCGGGGAATTTTGAACTAAATAGCAAAATATCAGAAATCAAAAAGTAATGAATTGGACCTGATGCCTAAACTTTTTTCATGATAACCAATGTAATTAGAGTAAAACGTTCTCTTTCAGAGATATTCATACCCACCCATTTGGCTACATTGCTAATTTTAAAATTCAGGTAACTAAGCCTCGGATAGATGTTTATTTATCAGATTGAGTTGCACTTAATGCATGAGGGCTTACGATACTAACCGGTCAATTAAATATGATGGGAGCGGTAAATGGATTTGAGAATTTACAAGAGTTACCAGTTGAGAATGCTGGGTTGGCTGCTAAGGTACTGAGTGGAGCTGTGGTTCATGGGTCTAAAACAATTGACTTTTAACCAATGGGCTAGGTATTCGTACCCTACCTCACCTACCAAGGTTTGGCTAACCAGGTAGCAACCTCAGTGCTTACACAACAGGTGTGGCTAGTGCATGAACCTACACATGTTCACTGAGTTATATTTTATTATTTCAAACCACCGCATGACCCAGAGATATACAGAAAAATGTTTAGTGGTGGCCAGGTAGAAACATATGATTGACAACTACTCTTCGATTATTATTATCCTTAAGTAACGCTCCAACTGTGTGAAAATATTCTTTTCTATAGCGCTTCTTTATATAGAATTTCTAATCTGCCTAGATGGCATTGATTTTGATGGGGATTTACAGTTCATGTTTTCTACATTTTCTCAATTGATTTATATCGCTGTTATTTTTCGATTTCAGACATTTACTCCTAAACAATTCAAGTAATACAAGCACCAGTTTGAATAATTTCACCCCAATTTTAGGTTCTGCATACCTAACAAAATCCCATGAAATAAAGTGAATTGACCTTATTCTAGAAAACATGTTTTCTCTAACTTCATTTAAGTGGTTGATATAATCTTTAATACACATATGGCATAGGAGAGCTGATACACCGATATATTTTTGTAAATAGGTCAGCTTTCTTTTTCGTGGTAGGGATGTAATTGTATATTAAATTTGTTGATTTGATATATATCGCACAGTGACATAGTATTATTTACTTGATGATGTTTTGAGTACAAACTAATGCTCATAATCATATGATAATGAGCAATAGTTTATGGAATATTTAATATGGAATTACAGCTTTCTTTCTTTTCTACAGAGTGCTTGGTCTAATTGACAATGATTTCTTATTGGCATTATCGATTCATTTATTTCAATTGCTCATGAGTATTTTTACTTTTTTTAGTAGGAGTGACTATGGACCACTACCTTAAAATTTTAAAAACACCAATCTCTTTGTTTGTAACTCTGGCTTTCATTTTGGATGGAGTATTGTTCGATGAGATTAAACGTAGTTATTTGTAAAAATACTAGAACACTACTATTACAGTCTCAGTTGAATTCAGAGGACAACATAGACTAGATTGTAAACTAAGAGAGAATCGTGTGAAATAATAATGAGCATAAAACCATAATATAATTCGGACCGCTAGCTGCTACCTTGAAGTAGTGGTCGATTTTCCATATCATTATGACCCAAAGAAACCTCGCCTGGTTAACTACTTCACTAGTTACTAGCCGGTCCTAAGCCCGGATAAAGAGAGGTTGGACATAGGGCTAGCAACCCTACCCTATAAAACCAATCCAATCGCTAAAGAAATTATAAAAAATAAAAACAAACTTAATCCTCACTGGAATCGGAGAGACGAAATGACGCCGGTTGGTGAAAGCTTTCGGGAAGCCCGTAGGCCGATGTGTCTTCTCTCCCTAGATGAAGGCGAAAGTAAGGATGGGGACACAGTCTGCACCATGTATGAACCTAGCAAGGCTGTCCAGATTGCAAAAGAGATGAGGCATGGCATGGAAGTGCTTAGAATCTGCAAGGGATAAGCAGATGGGATGGAAGTGGACTCTCCAAACTCTTAACTGGAGAGTCAATAATCTACTCCGATATTGTCACCCAGACGACAACCACGAGCACACTGAGTTTTGGAGTGGCTATCATGATGTCCCCTTGAAGAGCATCCAAGGCGCTCATGCAGTGGGTACCAATCTCCTCCTTCAGGATTAGGATCATGACAGCAAGATTCAACTCAAAAGGAAGGAAAGTCACAATCATACAATGCTACGCTATGCTATGCACCTACAAATAATGCAGATCAAGAGAAGAAGGAGGAATTCTACAGATAACTGCAATCAGTACTAGATATTCACAAAGCGATATGGACTTCACCAGATGGACACACCACACTGAAAATCAGATGGAATTCATCTCAATCTCAAGAAAGTGGAGACGCAGCCTACTGGACACAAGATCAGATCAAAAAGAGGAGCAGATGAAGGTTGACACCACTCACTGTCTAATGCAAGGAACCTGACTTCAAAATCAAGTTGAAAGCCCTTAATTAAAGGAAGTTAATGATAGACCACAGTTCAAGTTGGACATCCAGAACAGAAACTGAAGGACGAAACTACAAAGGTTATCTTCACGTCAGTCATCAGGACAAAATGGGAGACATTGAGCAATATCCCTGAAGAAACCTGTGTGGACGAGCACTGGAAGTCTTTGAAAGAGATGTGGAAAATAACCTGCATAACCGTATTACGAAGGAAGAGGAAACAAGACAAGGAATGGATCTCGACGGACACATGGAAGCCAATAGAAGAGAGGAAGATGGTGAAGCGGAAGATGAACTAGTGCAGTGCAAGCATGCACAACAAAAAGAACTGAGTACAACGTATGAAACACTGGACAAAGAAGTGAAGAAAAGTGAGTACAAAGACAAAAGACACTTCTATGACACATTGGAAGGTGAAGCAGAACAGGCTGCTGGTAGGAGAGACCTGACATTATATCGAATAACCAGGTTACTACCTGAGAAGAGATCAACTCAAACGAAACCAATAAAAGATGATGAAGGAAATCTGATTACCAAAGGAGAGAAACAAAGGAAACGATGGGCTAACCACTTCAAAAAGCTCTTGAATCGACCACCACCACCTGCAACTCGTCCAGAAATACACATGCAGCCACAGAACTACAAGTGAACACAAGCCCTCCGATAGAAGCAGAAGTCCTGAATGCCATAAAGTTGTTGAGATTCCGGAAAGCAGCATGACCAGATGCAATTCCGCCAGAAGCACCGAAAACAGACGCAGAGACAACAGCGGACATGCTCACACCGCTATTGCAGAAGGTTTGGAGTGAAGGAAAGGTATCTGACGATTGGAAGAAGGGTTACCTTGTCAAACTCTCAAAGAAGAGAGAGACCTAAGCCTTTGCAAGAAGTGGCGCGGAATCATGCTGCTGTCCACCCCAAGCAAAACATGATGCCGCATCATCCTGGTGGGACTAAAGGATGCGCTCGATTCAAAATTACGGCCGGAACAGGCTGGCTGGCTGGATTCAGGAAGAACAAATCATGTGCGGACCAAATTGAAAAGCTTCGCATCACCACAGAACAGAGTATAGAATGGCAGTCAACTCTCTCCCTCAACTTCATCGACTTTGAGAAGGCCTTTGATAGCGTCGACCGAGAAGTAATTTGGCAGTTGCTTCAACACTACGGTCTCAGTGCCTGAAATCTTTATCAACCTCATTCAACAACTATATGAAAACGCCACATGCCAAGTGATCCACAATGGAAAGCTCAGTGACGCCTTTGAAGTGAAGACAGGAGTACGACAAGGCTGCCTACTATCACCCATGATCTTTCTGTTTGTGGTGGATTGGACCATGCAGAAAACCGTGAGGAGCGAGATGGGCTAGACCGATGAAAAGAGCAATCGTGGAGCGAGGTCCGAAAGACTGCAGAGAACAGAGTGCAATGGAGGCATGCTACTGAAGTCCTATGTTCCACTAAGAACCCAAGAGAAAAATAATAATGACCCAAAGAGCTATGATGGTGGAACGCTTGTTCTCTCTCTCTCTCTCTCTCATGTATAAAAGGTCTGTTGGATGGTGGCAAGAGTGGAAGCGATTACCGTCATGGTACAAATTTCTAAGCCATGATGGGGGCTTCGAGGGTGAAGGTGAACTACTGACTGGATAGTGGTGGGACAGCAGTAAGGTGTTTGCCGTGGACGACCAGTAGTGCTGTGCTGATGCTCTCTTCCTATGAGAAAAGGGAGTTAGGAAAGATCACCCCTAAACATAACACACTCATTCCTACCCCTTGGCATACCGGTGGCGGCGATACGGGTTCATGGTACGATTTATAAAAAACAAACTAAAATACCAAACTTCTAAAAAGGTTATATGCGACTGACTTTAAGATGTCCAGTGGACTCTGTAGTCACTAACCAACATTATTATTACAATTTCTTTTTCAGGTACCTCACGAAGAAGCAACCCTCCAAGGATATGAGGAGTCGGGAAGAGTAGAACACTTTGACAACTCTGTCAGCCTTCAAGTTTCCCCAGATCAACCTTCCACTTCCTAACCTTCTAGTCTTCTTTCACTTCTCTTAGTCAACATTCTCACATCATTTTGAATTTCTTCCAGTTCTGAAGCTCTTGATAACGATCTCAGTTCACGGAATAGCATCACTGGCCTTCTGAAACCACGCTCTAAACTACACATCGGAGCTTTTAACATCCGGATCCTCTGTCGAATTGGCCAACAAACTTCGCTAGTTAAAACTGTGGTGCCTCAGGTTACGGATATGTTCTGTACTTGCGAGATGAACTTAGAACCCAAATGCAGCTATTCACTTAACCTCAACTGGTCAGTATAATGAGTCTGCAAAATTTAACCTTCATGTTTATGTAGATTCAATGGGTAGTTCATGGGGTTTTGGAGGTATAGGTATGGCTCTGAGTCCATGGACAAAAAGCGAACTACTTAACTGAATCCCAGTTAACAGTTGCCTGAGCAATGTTCGACTAAATGACATACAAAGGACTAAAAAGAGTAGTGAAACTCTCCGTTGTCTTTGTATATCCTACTTATTACTAATCTCTACCGATTGGTTGGAGCACGGATGAAGTGAAGGATGAGTTCTACCGAAGACTATCTAGACTCCTACTGAAAGCTAAACCGTTCACACATGATTACTGCAGCAGGCGATTTCAATGCACAAGTGGGTAAGCTAAGCTAGACAGAAAGGCATTTAGCCGGGACTTGTGGAATCATCATCGTGGAAACAGATAACGACGACTAACTGCTACACATATGCTCAGAAAACCATTTATTTCTAGCCAGGATAAACTTCAGACATAAAAAGAGACAATGTCTGAAGCGGTGTACATCGACTTCAACTCAGCGGTGGACACAGGACCATATTGCTATTAGTTATCACTAGAGAGGATCGGTGGAAAACTACCCCTGCTTCTAGATCACGTGCTTAGAAAGGGATCATGAGTATATCTGCAACTGAATGGATGTAGAGAAACAACAGTAACAAGGCCATTGAGAGTGTAGTTCGATCAAGGAAATACTAAATCTGACTGACTAAAAAGTCATCGATACAAAACATCATTCATCCAGAAGAAGCCTGGTGCCATTTTCATTCTGCTGTAAAAGCAACATTGAATACCTTATATGACCTCCAGAAAGTGGTTAGAAAAGGCCAGTGGATCTCAGCAACCTTTTCTGAATGGATAAACTCGAAACCGACTTTGCAGACCTTGAGGACAACGAAGATTGGAAACAACTCAAATGTAGACTAACAAAAAGGTCTACAGAATAACCGCGAACAGTTGTTATAAAGCGATAGAAAAGGCAGCGGCGATAGGTGACAGCAGACAATCATTTAGAATTATTAAGGAAACTGGGGCGAAAAGACCAATGGTTAGTGAGACTATAGTGCGGAAGGATGGATCCGTAACTGAGTCGCAGAAGAAACGAATAGAACAATGGGCGGAACACTTCGAGAAACAGTTCAACTGATCAGCTACTATCCTGTTGCGCTCTACCCAGTCAGAACCTGAATGGAACATTGAGACAGGACCTCCCACACTGGTGGAAGTCAAGAAAGCTGTGGGCGACCCGAAACGAGGAAAAGCAGCAGGGCTAAACTAGCTCCAGAGGGATTTAAGGATGGTGATTGAAGGTTACTAGTCAGGTTAACTGATGTATCTACTTTATGAGTAAGATATGATCCCCTCTAGCTGGTCTCAATCACTGGTTGACCCAGCCTTCAAGAAAGGTGAGAAGTCCTCTTGTGATAACCACAGAGGAATCAGCTAAATGAACATGGTGTCTAAGATTCTATAATTATTAGACGTATGAGTGGAGCTCGGGGACAGAAAACCCGAGAAGACCAGGCAGGTTTCAGATGTGGTCATGGGTGTATCGACCAGATATTCACTCACCACCAGCTTCTGGAACGCAGGCACACACATCAACACCAGATACAAGCTGTGCTTCTCGACCTGAAGGCGGAATTCGACTCCGTTGACCGAGAGGTAGTATGGTATTAACTGTTACTGAAAAGAGTGCCGAGTAAGCACATCATTCTGCTGAATTCTCTGTACTCGAACACCCCTGGGTGTGTTAGAGTCTGTAATGAGTTGTTAAATGAGTTGTGTACGTAGAGTGATCTCCATAAAGGATGTCTACTTTACCGTAGATGTACTTAGTGAGGTCTCCCTATCGTTATGTAGATTCACAGGAGAACTCTTAGTAGATATAAAGTAACCTGTTCGGTTAAGACGCTGGCAAGATGCATAATTTTCTAAACACAGTCGCAGTTTGAGAATGTTTAGGATGCGTTCCTTGTCGCTCGAGGACTGGTCTTCAGTGGTGCCTTGTTTCAAAATAAGGAATGAAATGGTTGAGCGCGTCAACCACTTCACTTAACAGAGAAGTTGGATCTGCCCTGGTGGCTCAGTGGCTAACGAAGTCTCTGCACGAACACAAAAGGTTACATTGGCTTTCGCCAACTTGCTCCACCTGTCACGCTTGCAGATAATTACAGATAAGATTTGTAGACCGCTATACTACGTTACCAATTGATTGGACACTGAGAATTGAGACATTTTTATTCGAATCAAATGTACTAACAGTGCCATTTAAATAACCTGGTTCCACCATTTTGAAGTGTCGAAATTGTACAATTGAGAATTTCTAAATAACATCAAAACAGCTGTTTAATATTTCCTAGTTTTACTAGCTATCTACTTTAGCATCCCACACTCAGAGGTTTTGCAAACCAAACAATTCCCGAAAACTAACAAATGTAGTAATAAAGCAGTACACGCATACTTGTATTTTTCGTCACTAACGGAGAGTAGCTTCCAGGATTGAAGTGATTTGAGTCTCCGTCAATGACTTTAGGAGGGCAACCCAAATCAGAAAGGAATTCACGCAAGAAGGGACGATTGTGCAAGGGTCCAATCCACATGGGGCCAAACACACGAAATTTTGAACCACATTCTGCACACTGAGGTCCTATGGGTGGACCATGAGCTGGAGTAATTGCTTTCGGACTGTTAACTGCTATACCTAAAGGTTGTATGTGGTACGCCTAGAAATTACAAAAGAATAGAAATACTGCATTTTAGAATGAGCATTTAGAAATTACGGTTAGATACCTAAGATCAAGCTACAGCTATTGAAAGTAAGGCGTTGTTTCACTTCTCATTAGTACAATAGATCGAATCAGTCGATCGGTATGTAAATAGACTCATCAAGTAAACGATTCAACACTATTGCTGATACCATTCCGATGGTACATGATGCAGATTTGCTTTGCAGCCGAAAAATTGGGTATTCGATCGGCTGGGATTTTCCGGCTTGAAGTAACTGCTACCAAGTTTCTGCACAACTTGCTTGACGACTAGTGGTCGTCAGTGATAATCCTCAGATCCCCGTCAGATATAATCGGTCACTTATTGTATGCACATCTTATTTTTGGGCAAACACTGTGAACGATACAATGGACACTTTTAGGTGGCATCTAATGGCAGAAAATATGACAACAAAAACGTTCGACAAATCCTGGGGGAAAATATTATACCTTGGAGTAACACTGTTCAGTTCACTACACAGATATGACAAAGAATAAGTGTTACTAATTTCATCAAATTACATTGACCACTATCCTAGAATGATTCACAGCATAACTGAGCGCAGTACATGTTTTCCAAAGGCCGTCATCTATTTTTTCAAATGAATCATATGTGCTTAAGTGTCATTCTTGTAAGAAAATGAGTGAATAAAGTAAATATGGAGCAAAACCAGAATGTAATAAAGAGGAATTATCCAATCAATACATTTTATCTCTATTTCTAACAAACATTAATACAACATGGGCATCAAGAAATGCGTTATGAAAAAAAAGTCTCAAAACGTTGATAAGACATAAAGATGATTTATAGAGGAGAGAATAAAGAAATAACCGAAGATAAGAAATGGGTTATCAAAGAAGCAGCCTTAAGGATACATTCAAAGAAGCTCTCATTACTCTCTTTTTACTCAGTGATAACAGAAGAAACATGAACGATGTAAAAAGAATGATACTAATTTTTAAGCAACATTTGATATCTTGTCGAGCTACCTAGTTGCATGATAGTTCAGACCTCCCTTAAAGATCATTCAAGTATCAAAAGAGGCCAACCCGATGCATCTATACTTCAACGCATGACTTCATATTATATGCCAAACAATGGTATGACATTTTTCGGGTCAGACGTTAGGTAATTAACTCCAAAAAAACTCCCAGAAAGATCGTGACAAGTCGCAAGATGTCTATTGGGTTATGCGGTCACGTAACTGGGTTCTTCAGACTGTCGTTCACCAATCCACTTTCCCTTACAGGTACCTCAAGACGCGAACTTCCATATAGTGAACAGAAGGAAGAAGTCAACCATTTACAAACATCAATCTGTACACAAGCTCCTCGAAAAACCAAACATTCACATTTCCACTTCCAATCTTTCTTCAGCGTAATAAGTCTTAACAACCATTAACTTTCTCGAGCTCCGTTACTCGAGATCACGATACTAGTTTATACAATAGCATATCTCGTAGCCTGGAAACCTGCTCTAAACTATACATCGGAGTTCTCAATGTCCGCACCCTTCTTGAAATCTTACAACAAGTTTCACCAATCAAAACTCTGGAGTCCCCGGCCATGGATACGTGCTGTGATTGAGACAGGCATAGACTATTCAAGTATGGTTATTCACTTAATAAACAGACGAACAGACGAGCAAAATCAAAGTAGAACCCTGCACACAAGTGCATCGATTCAATTTACCCTACTTCATAGTAGTAAACAAAGAGCAAGCACATAGAAAAACACTGTCAAAGTAAACAAAGCGATATGCGGGGAGAGAAGTATTTAAAAATTAAGGTTCAGGAGAATATTCAAACTTTAAAAGACATCAAAATTTTGAGTAGACCTGGGGCATTATGACTGATTTTCAGCTATTTCACCAAGAGTCCTCAACCACTGATTCCTATCGTCTCGACGACTCCACCCAGACAGTTTGAATCTCCCCACACAACTGAGACCGACAACCAGAGACCTCATGAACTGGTGCCACGTTTTGGTCTGGCCACTATGAGCGTTCTTCCAAACAAGTACGAAGTAGGTGGTGGCTCAGCATGCCCAAAACATGTTCAAGCCCCTTCAGTCGATGGTAGTTCACAACCTCATCAATCGACTTGCTTGTCTTGCCCAGTACCCTTCACCTGACTTCAATATTGCTTACACGAAGATTCCACCAAACGTGAGCAATGCTACGAAGGCGCCTGTGGTTGAAACCCTGCAACTGCCTCATGTCTTCTACTTTGAATGGCTATATCATAGCCGTATAACAGGGCATGAGGGACTCCAGCACAGTATACTCGTCCTTTGATAAACAGTTGGAAATCATCCCAGTCGACGTCAGAGATGATGCAAATTGGCAAATACCAAACGGGCCTTCTCTATCTGAGCTGAGATTTTGTCATCAACCAGCTCGTTCAGGCTGATGCAATTCCCCAAGTAAGTGAAGTAGTCAACATATTCCATCATTTTACTCCCTATCATTAAACTGGGAGCACTTGTAGTAGACCAGTTCTAGAGCATCATTTTACATTTGATAGGTGACAGCGAGACGCAAACCAAACACTGAGATTTCCGCTCATGGCGTTCATGAGACGCTGAATCTTGTCAACATCTTCACCTGGCAGTTCTTGAGCATCATTTTATATTTGACAGGTGGGAAACGTACGCCACCACCAATTCGATGAATCTGCAAATTCACTCTTCAAGTTCCTCGGCACGTAGTCTTGTTCTTGAACAGATAAATGTAGTACTCCCTTCAGGTAGAAAGTGATTCCAGTTGACAGAAGTCTGTGTGGTGCACTGCAGAACAGTGTAGGAGAGGGTTGAAAAACGGAATCCAATCAGCAACTACGTGCAAGTTTATGCAGTAGGCAATGAGCGACAAATATTGTGTGACGATTATTTGTATTACCTCAATATCTAGACCTCAGTATATGGACAGGGATTTGAACCTGTGACCCGTTAGTTGGAAATCAAACGCTCATATCAATAACCCACAGCTTTACTTTAAAAATAATTAATTATAAATAATCACATCGGAAATAGTGAAACTTGACGTTGTCTCTTTATAATCTTTGCCTACATACCAACTGACTGCAGGTTAGTTGAAGCGAAAGTTGAATTTTATCGAAAACTGAAAGACAAACTTTGACACGTGATTGTCGTAGTACATTATTTCAATGAGTAACCAAATAGGTTAAACCGCGTAGAAAAGCATTCACATGGCACTTTTGGAATCCCAATAGAACACACCGATAATGGTGATCACTTAGCAAAAAAGTGCTTAGAAAACCGCTATTTTTAACCAATACGAACTTCAGACAAAAAAAGAGATATTGTCTCATGCGGTATCCATTCACTTCAACCAGACAGTGGACACAACTAGACCACATCGCTGCCAGGTATCGCTGGAGGGTCCGTGGAAGATTGCTTCTCATTCTGGAACACGTACCGGGACTGTGATCACACATCGGTTCCAATAAGCCAATGTCTACACCTAAATGAATGTTAGAACCGTAAGACCGTTCTGAGGGAACCTCGATGATAGACATTTTACGTCTGCTTTCGATGAAGAGATGTCTAGACAGCTACCAAGAATGTGGGAAAATTACTCATTCTGAAGAAGCCCTGTCATTCCAAGTCTTTTAAAAATAGCACTAGAGGCAGTAACTATTGGAATGAGTCAGTGGATCACGACAGCTCTACTTGAATTGATAGATACATGTAAACCCATTTCTGAGACCTACAGGTACAACGACGACCCGAATATGGTCAAATGTAAACTGATAGTCTTAGAAATAATTGTGAGCAGTGAAGGCTAAAGAGATAGGAAGGGTTTTGGTGATGAACAACAGCTAGTGGTTGTGTAGACTTATTTAGGAAACTAAGACGAAAGTAAGCTGTGTACGTTGAGCAGTCTTGTCAACGGTCTTTACACAACTTTTATCTTTTTTATAGGTGTCCTTATCGAATATCCCTCTTTTCGTCCGAATTTACAGGAAGTAATCCGTAGCGGGAAACTCACTAGTCAACCTAGTGTGCAGTAGGTAAGGTAGGATGCTGACTAACAGTTTTTTAGACATTAAGAATGCGTTTTTCACCACCGAAATGACCATCACAAAGATCAACATAGGACCAGGCATTACTGTGTGACGGTCCAAGTTGCCACATCTCATATAGGCACATCAAGTAACAGGGCAATAAAATAGATCAAGAAGGAAAGAAAAACTGGCCAAAAGAAGAAAGTAGTAAAAAGGAGGAAGGAGAAATGAACAAATGATGAGATTAGGTATAGCGGTCAAGATGAGGATAATCCGTGCATACATTTGTGTCACTGACATAAGTTCTGAGCCAAATCACCTAGAGTCTCCAACCACTGGTTTCTATAATCATGTGGACCCATAACCGCCTAGTCTGCATCGTTCTACATTACTCAAACAAACAGTCAGGGACTTCATGATTTGATGCCGTGTTTTAGTCTGGCCAACCCGAACCTTTTTCCAGACTGAACCTATTTTGGCCAACATTGTGCGACGAGGCAGACGGCGGCTAGGCATACGCAACACATGTCCAAGCTATCTCAGTCGATGAAGGTTCACAACCGTATCAATTAATTTACCGTCTCTCCTTAAAACTACGCCTGACTTCAGTATTACGTGGTGACACCACGGAATACGGTCCATACTACTTCCTACCTTCAATGGTTATGTTTCACAGTCATACAGTAGAACAGAGTGGACTGCTGTGCAGTACACACGACCCTTAATAGACAATCGGATATCACGGTGGCACCACAGGTGGCGTAAGTTGGTAAAAGCCCACCAAGCCTTTTGTATCCGTTCAGAAATTTCTTTGGCCACTGAGCCATCAGAGCAGACCCGACGTTCCAGGCAAGTGAAGTCTTCAATGCGCTTAACCACTTTACTCTATATCGTTGAAGACCAGTCCTGAAGCAACATTTTGTAATTGGGTGGGGGAAAAACGCATATCAAACATTCTCAAATTGTCACTCAAGGTCCCCAGAAGACTCTGAATCTTGTCTGCGTCTTCATCTAACAGGACTATATCATCTGCCTATTCTAGGTCTACCAAAAATTCTGTGACTAGGTCTCGCCACCAACATGCGGATTCATGCTTCACGACTGGTCTGGGTCAAAAATCAAACTGAAAATGGGGATTTAAGAGGTTGAGTATGTTGACCAATACACTCACTTTGAAAGTCGAATCAACATTCATGACTTAATGACTGAAAAACACTTGAAAAGGACTCAAAAGATTGACTTGAATCCTTGTAAGTTACTTCTGACTTCATACGGATTAATCCCTGACAATTATCTCGTTGACTTGGGTACCGCAGATGATACTGTTCTGTTAGGTGAAGACGTTAACAAGACTTAGCGTCTCATGAACGCCATGAGCGGAAATCTCAGTATGTTTGGTTTGCGTCTCGCTGTCACCTATCAAATGTAAAATGATGCTCTAGAACTGGTCTACTACAAGTGCTCCCAGTTTAATGATAGGGAGTAAAATGATGGAATATGTTGACTACTTCACTTACTTGGGGAATTGCATCAGCCTGAACGAGCTGGTTGATGACAAAATCTCAGCTCAGATAGAGAAGGCCCGTTTGGTATTTGCCAATTTGCATCATCTCTGACGTCGACTGGGATGATTTCCAACTGTTTATCAAAGGACGAGTATACTGTGCTGGAGTCCCTCATGCCCTGTTATACGGCTATGATATAGCCATTCAAAGTAGAAGACATGAGGCAGTTGCAGGGTTTCAACCACAGGCGCCTTCGTAGCATTGCTCACGTTTGGTGGAATCTTCGTGTAAGCAATATTGAAGTCAGGTGAAGGGTACTGGGCAAGACAAGCAAGTCGATTGATGAGGTTGTGAACTACCATCGACTGAAGGGGCTTGAACATGTTTTGGGCATGCTGAGCCACCACCTACTTCGTACTTGTTTGGAAGAACGCTCATAGTGGCCAGACCAAAACGTGGCACCAGTTCATGAGGTCTCTGGTTGTCGGTCTCAGTTGTGTGGGGAGATTCAAACTGTCTGGGTGGAGTCGTCGAGACGATAGGAATCAGTGGTTGAGGACTCTTGGTGAAATAGCTGAAAATCAGTCATAATGCCCCAGGTCTACTCAAAATTTTGATGTCTTTTAAAGTTTGAATATTCTCCTGAACCTTAATTTTTAAATACTTCTCTCCCCGCATATCGCTTTGTTTACTTTGACAGTGTTTTTCTATGTGCTTGCTCTTTGTTTACTACTATGAAGTAGGGTAAATTGAATCGATGCACTTGTGTGCAGGGTTCTACTTTGATTTTGCTCGTCTGTTCGTCTGTTTATTAAGTGAATAACCATACTTGAATAGTCTATGCCTGTCTCAATCACAGCACGTATCCATGGCCGGGGACTCCAGAGTTTTGATTGGTGAAACTTGTTGTAAGATTTCAAGAAGGGTGCGGACATTGAGAACTCCGATGTATAGTTTAGAGCACGTTTTCAGAGAACCGGGTATGCTGATGTGAGGTTTGTCACTTGGGATCGTTGTGCAGTAATACGAAACCTTGTGCTGAAATTAGTTTGACAAGGTTGGTGGTGAAATCATATGAGTGAGCGCTGGATCACTTGGATAACGCTAATGGCAGCTTAGTCAAAGCCATCTGAAGTTTTTTTACTTACACTTCGTACTACAACACAAAGACTGAAGTAATAGTTGCTATAATGATTTGGAAAACAGCATCAAAATGAGACGTTCGAGGATGAATTCGAACAGTCTTGTCGAAGTATGACAGTAGTAGAATAGACAAACCTGAATCTATTTGTCATTATTCACTGATGTAATGTTTCTTCAGATGCAGTTAACCGTTGTCAGCAGTGCTCAGTCCCTTCATTATATCCAGTTCCAGCACGTTCACGATGGCCGTTCATATGGGCGTTGACATACAGGGTCACTAAGTTTTTAAAAAAACCCATAACCTCAATAGTAGTTCTAGGATTAGACTCCGACCCAGCGCTGGTAGGAAAACAAGAGGTAAAGGTTTGTCCAATTTAGTAGTTACTTAAAGGATTGCGGTGTTGGGAAAAATCACAAATAAGAAAAACGTTTCACATACAGTGTGATAATTACTGTAAACCTTTTTTAGATTTAATATAAGGTTTCGATTTAAAATCACTAGGGGATTTCTTACATGGCATCCAGGACACATAAAACAAATCCCATGTTTAGCTGCAATTGCCTTCACAGATATTGGGCTATGCCAAACACGAACAAATACCCGAGCGTAGAAATCCACCGATAAAGATAACAACGGTTCAATAACTTTACCATATCGACTAGCAGCTGACTGCATTGCATTCAAAAGTATCCGTAATGCCTGAAAGAAAATGATAACAATGATCCTTATCACAAAAAAAGCAGTCGCTATAATGAAATGTTTGAGTATTATTTGCTTAATGGTGGCTAGTAGTGAAATCGAGGATAAGCGTTTCATCCTATTTGGTACGCGTCAGCTGGATTTACCTAGGTCCTAATGAGTCAGGGAGTTTCCGTTGATACTAAAGCCAGTACTCGCAGCTTATAACGCCAAAGAGTTATACACTCAGCTGCTGTCACGACAACCACCTCCTGTACAACAGGTATCACTAAATATTTATTGACGCTTGCAATTTTCCGTTGATTATGACATTACTAAAATGGACCGGCTTCTGTTAATATCTGGGATTCTCAAACTTCTGCGTTTGGTTTTTTGGGCTTCGTAAGTATTCCAATATTCAATATGTAACCAGCAAGTGTCGAAAACCTTGCAGCTGTCACGTTTATAATCACTAACTGTTTCCAATTTTAAGCGGATCAAAGTGATGGATTTCAGACTGAAATGAACTATCATTTCAAAACTAGAAGATCAAGAAAAACACTGGCAGTCAAGTTAAACTTAAAGAAAACAAGCAGTAAGTAAAAAATAACTGGAGACTTGCAAAAACGTTTAGACATGACCCATAATGAGATAGTATTATCTGGTAAATATCATTCTTTTCTAGATTCGCACCTTGTTCTAATTGTCCAAAAGTTTACTCTTACCCAAATGATATCACCTAGTGTCTAAAATTCGTTAGGTAAAGAGAACTCCAAATCTATAACTTAATGGTTAAAAGTCGTGTCTGACCCAATGAGCCACAAACCTTAAGAGTACAAAAGAAGGAATAAAAATTTATATAGAACTTGAAGAACATACATTTTCTAACATTTAGTCAAAATCACAGAACTAGGACAACTTACAACTTCATGAGTAGAACCAGTTTTAATTGCTAGTCCACCATATTTACTCATCGAAGTCCCAGGAGTGGACCCACATAAAACAGCCATATCAGTAGATGTTACGCATAGTAGTCCACCATTGTGCAAGCATTGAACGGCAGAGTCCAAAAATGGACTTGCCGATCCAAAAGGGTCAATGTCAACCACATTAAACCTAACACAAGTAACAAAGAATAGATTTTATGGATTTCGAAGTGACAGTAATGGGATTCACTGATACACAAAAACTATTGCAGATAAGTTATGCGAAGACTCGTACAGATAAAAAGAGAGGTATCTCAAGCTAACATACAAAACTTCTACCCTGACCCTAAAACTGGTAGGAATATAAAATCATGAATACATACCATATGAGATACCTTCTACACGCTACTGTGAAGTGTAAAACTGTATTTCTACTCAGTGATTTACGTCGATTTTCCTGTCCGTCTGCCTGTTATTTGCGTTGTAGATAGTTCGATACCTTAGAAATAGTTGTTAACAGTTGAGGATTTGAGTCAACGAAGAGCAGTTCCTCATTAACTGCTGCGTCCTCGGTAGTGTACATTTTTGACCACACGTTAAAACATCCCCAGCAAATTACGGTTTTCAGGTGGTAGTCATGTCTACATGCACCCCAATTACCAAAAGAAATTAGGTGTACGCAGAGGTGGAATGCTATATTGCATTTCATAATTTTTCCTGAACACAATGTGGACGGTTACCATCATTTTTTGCCGTTTTATAAATATTTTGTTATTTAGTGAAAGGGTAGTAGGTAGTTTCATAAATGTCCCTACCTACTTTACTTTCACTTTCTGATACCAACATTAAGCCACTTACAGCCTAAACTGCTTAATGTGAACCAACTTCCAAAAATCCAAGCCTTCGAAACCTTACCCCTAGTCTCCTAGAACCCCGCTGTCGATTTCATATTGGAGCTTTAAACGTCCGATCAATGCCAAATCGGACAGCACGTATTGCCCCCCAAAACTCTGGAATATCGAGTCATGGATGCATGCTGTCTTTGAGACATGTATACAGGACCCCAGCGTGGCTAATTACTTGACTTCACCTGGTCAATGCAGTGAATCTTCACGGGTATCCGGAGATTCAATGGCTAGCTCTTTCAACTCAGTCTGTTAAATAGTAACCCAGCAAACAGCAATATTTGATGCGATAAATAATGCTGTTACTTACCTATATACTCGGCAATACAAAAATGCTCTGATACCTCATCATTTAAGAGCTCAATGAAGGTAAACTGACCTTTCACTACATGTCCGATGTGTGTACATGAGGTCGATAGCATCATTGCAGACAGCATGAACCACACTACTCACGTTGTTATGTGCAGCATTCTTTCCAATTAAAATAACGGCATCCGGACTAAGGTCATTGGCAGTTACACAGGAAACATTTGGTACTTCCAGAGCGAATCTAACAGACCTTATTCCAGATGCCGCTAGTGCTTCAAGTATTTTCAAACCAGTAGGTAATTCAGATCTTTCTTAAACACATACAACTAGTGGTAAACACAGAAACATACCTGGCAGATTCTTTAGTTTACGGAGGGATTCCTTTCTGTGAAGTTTTTCGAATTGACTTATCATGGCTACAGTGATATCTCTGTTAAACTCCTGAACTGGGTTGTAAAACACACCATCTGGAAGTGTAACCTCAGCAAGACCTTCTTTTACTACGTTTACGTGAGGCATATTAATGTTAGAAAGCTTGCGCACATGCGCAAACCGTGTTATCTTAAGCATCAAGGTCACTTGAAGGTTCAAATAGTTGTTGACAGAATAGAAGCTTCCGCTTAACTGGTTTCCGCGTCCATAACCCGTGGATCACTACTACTTGCGGCTGTTAACCTGTTTATAAATAAAGAAAGAGGAAAACGTGGCGGTTAAAATGTGAAAATTCAATTAGTTCTGGACAGATCCCAGACACGCGTCAACTAGGTGCAGTGCATCTTCCTGGCACCAAAATACAACTAGGGCTAAAATAACTAGATTAAGTCGACTAAATAAACCTCTAGCTCGCCTCCGGATGCTTTAGGCGTTTTAAGTTTTGTTTTGCATCTGAGCAGGCTTGGTCGCCATTTTGCGCTTCCTTAGTGCTGGTTAGCATGCACGTACACAGAGTCCTAGTCCAGCCATACAAGCCAGATAAGTTGAATAAACTTCTCCCCTATTCGTCACTATTACATCTATTCTAAATAAATGTGTTACTTCTATGAATATATTCCTGAAACCAGTTCTTTCGATTTGTATTTCGTTATCAGTACTTACACGTTGGGTAAGGTACTGGTTAGGCAGGTGCTAGAGCACATCAAGTTAAGTAGGGTTGGTCAAACATTACGGAATCGTAACACACACCCCTACAATTGGCGAGCCACAGTATCGCTTCTTACTGACTAGTACTTATTTTCTTACCCTGCGTTGATTTATTTCCTATTATCTATTTCTATTTTCTATTATCATTGGGTGGTAAAAATATGGTTAACTTTTCCACTCGTCTTAACAACACCTTAGACTTTGCATTTGGAAATTGTTTAAACAGCTTACTGGTAAAAAACAGATGACAACACAAACTCGTTCGGGTGTCTGTGCGTTAAACAAGTCATTTATACGTCGGCAAGCTAATTTCACCCTTCTTAATGTGCAAAATCAAGTGGATAGCTGCTTTCCAGGTTTCAATACAAATGATGTATTTCAGTGTCTAAGGTCTTTGAATCCCTCCCGAAGTTTAGGTCCTGATGGTGTTTTTAGTATCACATTTAGAGAATGTGCAGATATTTTGTGTCATCCACTTACAGATATCTTCAATGTATCGTTCTCTAAAAACATAATACCCACTGCTTGGAAGCAGATAAAAGTTGTACCTGTGCCTAAGCCATCTTCTGGATCAGATGTTACTTTTCGATCCTTCGCTATAACTTCCTGTTTTCTGAAGACAATGGCGAAATTACTTCTGCTTGTGATTGAGGCTTCATTGATGGCCTTCATAGATCCAAAACAGTTTACTTAAAAACACTGGAGGAGTACTTCAGATGCGGCTGCTGCCTTGCATCATAATACTGTTTCTAGTCTCGATAAAGCTATTAAGTATGCCCGTTGTGCCTTCCTGGATTACTCATCAGCCTTTGACCCTGTTCCTAGACCACTTTTGTTAAATAAGCTTGCCGAGGCCCAATGGCATTCCACCACTGCGTACACCTAATTTCTTTTGGTAATTGGGGTGCATGTAGACATGACTACCACCTGAAAACCGTAATTTGCTGGGGATGTTTTAACGTGTGGTCAAAAATGTACACTACCGAGGACGCAGCAGTTAATGAGGAACTGCTCTTCGTTGACTCAAATCCTCAACTGTTAACAACTATTTCTAAGGTATCGAACTATCTACAACGCAAATAACAGGCAGACGGACAGGAAAATCGACGTAAATCACTGAGTAGAAATACAGTTTTACACTTCACAGTAGCGTGTAGAAGGTATCTCATATGGTATGTATTCATGATTTTATATTCCTACCAGTTTTAGGGTCAGGGTAGAAGTTTTGTATGTTAGCTTGAGATACCTCTCTTTTTATCTGTACGAGTCTTCGCATAACTTATCTGCAATAGTTTTTGTGTATCAGTGAATCCCATTACTGTCACTTCGAAATCCATAAAATCTATTCTTTGTTACTTGTGTTAGGTTTAATGTGGTTGACATTGACCCTTTTGGATCGGCAAGTCCATTTTTGGACTCTGCCGTTCAATGCTTGCACAATGGTGGACTACTATGCGTAACATCTACTGATATGGCTGTTTTATGTGGGTCCACTCCTGGGACTTCGATGAGTAAATATGGTGGACTAGCAATTAAAACTGGTTCTACTCATGAAGTTGTAAGTTGTCCTAGTTCTGTGATTTTGACTAAATGTTAGAAAATGTATGTTCTTCAAGTTCTATATAAATTTTTATTCCTTCTTTTGTACTCTTAAGGTTTGTGGCTCATTGGGTCAGACACGACTTTTAACCATTAAGTTATAGATTTGGAGTTCTCTTTACCTAACGAATTTTAGACACTAGGTGATATCATTTGGGTAAGAGTAAACTTTTGGACAATTAGAACAAGGTGCGAATCTAGAAAAGAATGATATTTACCAGATAATACTATCTCATTATGGGTCATGTCTAAACGTTTTTGCAAGTCTCCAGTTATTTTTTACTTACTGCTTGTTTTCTTTAAGTTTAACTTGACTGCCAGTGTTTTTCTTGATCTTCTAGTTTTGAAATGATAGTTCATTTCAGTCTGAAATCCATCACTTTGATCCGCTTAAAATTGGAAACAGTTAGTGATTATAAACGTGACAACTTCAAACGTTCTACCTTTCCGTTTTCCTTGTGTTTGCACGATTTGCCTTATTCTGTTGAAGCTAATTTTATCAAATATGCTCGGGATCTGACTGTTTCTAATCCAGTCGACTCTTCTTTGGATTGCTCGAAACTGAATGAATTCTTGTCTGATGTTTGTAAGTGGTCTCTTTAATGGTCTGAAAGCAAGCCCCTCTAAATATCAGACCGTTAATTTTAGCCTCAGGCGTAAAGAAGACTTACGTGAGCTGCTTAGGTCCCATGACGCCTGCTGCATCGGTGCTATTTCTGAAGAAAGTAAGTCGAGTGTGAATCATCTTGGGTTGCGTTTTACTTCTGACCTTTGTTGGTCGTCCCATATCTTTCTGACTTGTAAAATAATCTTTCGTTTAACTTAATACGTAGAGAAATTGAGGCTTTCTGGTTTGGCTCAACTGCTTCTTTCACAATTTATTAATCCCTGCATTTTACCTATTCTTCCATATTGTTCCCTAATAATCTCTCCTGGTCTTCTTATAAAGGACTATGTTATGTTGCGTAGGGCTTTGAAGACCGTCAGCAGAGTGAGTGGTGTGTCTCCGGCCCAATTGATTAACACTGTAGTTGATGGACATATAAATTCCTGCAAGCCACTAGCTATAGAAATTTTAACTGACAATGCGCATCCACTTGATTGACAGCTGTCTCCATGTATCTCCTCAGGGAAGACAAGGAGAAACTACATAAGACTCTATACTCGTACAGCTAAGTATAAGAACTCGACTGTACCTTAACTCGCACGTATATTTTGTGAGGAAAAAAGTGTCAGAACAGAAATCACACATCAACTTTGTGACAGTTAAAAATCTCACTTCAATAATTTAACTTACAATGCAAAATCTTCTCGTTTTTGCTATTCTTCACATAACTTAAATTTTTATAATAAAACAATTCAAAAGGCTGCAAAGTAGCATGTGTATACTTATATATTGTTGTTATTGCAATATATATTATGCTGAGAATTCCAAATTGTACCACAAATTGTTTGGAATAAAGTGAATTACTATTATTATTGTTTTATTTTTGTTTTTGGCATGGTTTGTCGCTTGTTATCGCGTTCCTCGTCGGTTTTTCAACATTGTAATCTTCTTATTATCAACGTCGTGCCTCGTTATACCCCTTATCAATGGCTGACAACAACGACTGTGCCGTGCAGATGGCCATAACACCCCAGCCTCCCACCCTCTAGGCCTATGACCGTCCTCATGTTTCTCCCAGGTGGAAGCTCAGTTTGCATTGAGGCACATTCGCTTACAGGAAACTAGGTCCGACTAAGTCATCGCCAGCTTGCTGGAAAATGTAATCGATGATATCTCAGACCAACCGAACCTGTACGATCGCCCCAAAGCCGCCCTCATCAAGCGCGCTTCACTTGCTGACCAGCAGAGGGTGCAAGAACTTTTCAGGGGTGTGCGTCCAGGTGATCGTGAGCCCATACAACTGCCTCACCAGATGAAGCAACTGGCTGCAGACTTCACTTCCGGTGAAACATTTCTCAAGCAACCGCGGTTACAGAGACTACCACAGACGGTGCAAGGAATCCTGGCACCCTCTGACTGGTGCCGCTTGACAGAGCTGGCAGAAGTAGCTGACAGGGCTGTAGACGCTTCCAAGTCCAGCACTAGTGTTTCAGCTGCGTTGTCCATTGCCACTGACTCACCCAAAGACTCCTACCCTGCCTCTGCAAGTGAGCTAACAAGTTTCGACGTTGTGGCTCACATTACCAAACTGTACGAGGAACTGCGCGGCATCAGGAAAGAAGTGCGATCTGGTAATTCTTTCCACAGTCGTATGCCTCGATTGCACAACAGATATGTCCCCCGTGCCGATAACAGGTGTTCCAAGTCGCGACCGCCCCAACCCAGGTTGTGCTGACACCATAAACTTTATGGCGCCAGTGCCGAAAGGTGCACTATACCTTGCACCTTTGAGGCTGACCAGGCGGGAAACGTGTGAGCCAAGACGTGACGGTGACTAACGTCGCCGGCGAACTACCCCCACGTTGCCTCCTCTTCGTCACAGACAGACAGTCTGAGACACGCTTCCTGGTTGGCACCAGGGTGGAAGCCAGCGTCATCCCACCCGCCACAGAAGAGCTTCTGCGGCCAATGCCTCTCCAACTTTGTGCCACCAACGGTTCGTCCACCACGACTTGTGGTCAAAGATTCCTCGATCTCAACCTTGGACTGAGTCGTTCCTTCCGCTGGGTCTTCATAGTGGCTGATGTGATCGCCGGCATTATTGGTATGGATCTCTTACAGCACTATCGGCTGCTGGTGAGCGTAAATTGATTGATTCCACCACAAGACTCTCTGCCCCCGGCATTGTCACACAGACGCAGTCTCTCGGTCTAGCTTACTCTACGATGGACACTTGTAGTCCTTAAGCGTCGATTATTCAATCGTCTTCAGATGTCTTCAAGACAAGTCGCAGCATACCCCGTGCGACTTACAACGTTTCGCATCACATGGCTACGACTGACCCGCTAGTGTTTGCTGAACCACAGCGATTATCCCCGGAGAAACCACGTGGCGCCAAAGCCGAGTTTGAACACATGCCTGATACAGGAATAATCGGACTATCTATCAGTCTATGGTCCTCACCCCTGCACATGGTACCGAAAAACGATGACATGGATTGGAGGCATTGTGGCGGCTATCAAAGGCTCAACGCTAAAGCGATTCCGGACCGCTACACAGTCCCTCACGCACATGATTCGACTGCATCTTTAAAAGGCTCATTTATCTTCAGTAAACTTGACCTGATGCGCGCCTATCATCGGACCCCAGTTCATCCCGATGATGTCTCCAAGACAGCGGTCACCACATCTTTCGTTCTTTTTGGGTTTCTTCGCGTGCCCTTCGGTCTCTGCAACGCAGCACAAATCTTTCAGCGCCTTATCCATGATATATTACACGGACTAGACTTTGTCTACGCTTACTTGGACGAAATTCTAATAGCCGGTCCATACGAAGATACTAGTTGCAATCACTTAAAACAGGTTTTCGCTGGATTGTCGGAGCATTCAGTGACAGTAAACCGGACCAAACGCCAAATTAGTGTCCGGTCACTGAGATTTCTGGACACGCTACCGAAGAACAAGGCATTCACCCACTACCTGAAAAGATACAGGCGGTCCAACAGTTTCCGGTCCAAATGCCACACAAAGCGCCACGTACACTCCTAAGAACGGTGAGCCATTATCGTCGTTTCGTCCCCCACTGTGATCACATTCTGACCGTGCCAACTGACCTGCTGAAAGGGAAGTGCAAAACTTTCGGCATGACTCCTGAGGCATTAGAGGCATTTCGCAAGATCAAAACCGCAATAGCAGACGCCACAAAGTTGATCCACAAGGACGTAAGCCTACCGATTATCATTGCGGTTAGCGCCTCTAACGCGGCCATCGGAGCCGTGTTGCAACGACTATCGGATCACATTTGGGTCCCGCTCACATTCTTTTCCCGGGAGCTATCCGCTTGGGAAATTCGGTGCAACACTTTTTGGCAGGGAACTGCTTGTCACATGTGCCTCCGTGGAGCATTTCCGTCTCTATGTGGAAGGTCGTGATTTCATTATATTTACCGACCGCAAACCTTTGACTTAAGTCTTACATACCACCACCGGTGGGTGTTCGCCACGTGAATTACGTTATATGGACTATATTTCGAAATTCACGTCGGATATCCGTCACATTCCCGGCATGAACAATTCCGTCGCAGACGTACTGTCTCGCGCTTGCACCACTACTTTGCCTCAGGCGGTTGACTTATGGAAGATTGCTAAACTTCAGGGTTCGGACGAAGAGATGGAAAAACTTCAAAACTCAACCTCTCTGAAGATGCAACGTTTACCGCTCATGAACGGTAGAGGGACAATCGTATGCAACATCTCCACAGGCACACATAGACCTTTTGTTCCTTCACCTTTGCGTAGGGATATTTTTGATGCTGTGCAGCCTTTCGCGTCCTGGTATACTTGCTACTGACAAACTGATACCCACTAGGTTTTTATGACCTGGTTTCAACCGTGATCGAAACTGAACACGGTCATGTACTCAGTGCCTGCTCTCCAAGGTGAATCGCGATAACATTCCACCGCTTGGGACTTTCTCCACTAAGGAGTCACGGCCCTCCTATGCTCATCAAGGCATTGCTGGCCCCCATCCGCCCTCCGAAGGTTATTACTACCTACTGACTTGCGTCGATAGGTTTGCCCGCTGGCCGGAAGCCATCCAGTTGTCTGACATTACTGCTGAAACAGTAGGTCGAGTTTTCGTCGAAATACGGGTTTCACAGTTTGGATGCCCTTCCGCCGTGACAGCCGGCAGATGCCACCAGCTCGAATCCGTCACCTCCCGGAAGCTTATGGATCTGCTGAGATGCAGGCGAATTGTCACCAATGCATATCACCCAGCTTCCAACGATTTGGTAGAACAGTTTCATCGACATCTTAAGAGCGCACTAACAGCAGTCGACAATATAAAATGGACCGAGTTTCTGCTGCCGGTTCTTCTCAGCATTCGTTCAACGTTCAAGACGGATATGCAGTGCACTCCTGCTGAGCTGGTTTGCGACAGTAACCTACGTTTGCCTAGTGAACTGGTAACTTCAGATGGTAGCGACCCAACTCCCGGCGATATTCACAGTCATGCGCAAACCCTTAAACTCCACATGCGTCGCCTCCAGCCCCATACACATGAATCCAGAGTAGACGGGTGCGGCCAGATAAACGTCTTCAAGACTGCACACATGTCATTGTGCGTTGTGATGCTGTACGTAGACCCTCACAGCCACCACACGGCAGACCCTTCAAGGCTCCCAGGCACCAGTCTGAAAGGGGGTAGGTTCGAATCTCACCTCCACCAAGCAGTTGAACGGTCACGCGGTAATGTCGAATCTAAACGCTTCTTTCCCATGTGGTTCCTGATTATATCAATTTGCAGATTTCCTGTTGTGTCTGACTACCTATTATTGTATTTTGTAGTAATATTTCAGTCCATTTCATATATTTGGCTTACAGCTCTGCTATTCTCCTCACATACTGTGCTACCAACGTTTCGGTATACTACGTATAGCCGTTCGCTGTTTTTCTACTTTAACAATAAGCTTCGATTTGAACGTCTTTTTAGATGGGAAGATCTAAGGCTGAACGTTCTAAAATCGACTACTCCAGTGAGAAAAAACAAAGACTTGATCATTCCAGTGCTCTTCTGTGTGACAGAAGCATTGTTACTCAGTGTAACTCAGATCTCGATGATCTGGTATGCCCTACGCCTTTTGTCAGAACCGAAGACATCATATCAGTCATGAGTAGTAGTATCAACAACCACAGGAACGAAATCGACAACATTAAGACCATGATGGAAGAGGTTCGGAGAATAGTTGAGGATTTCCATCCATTAGCATATCTTCTAGGGAAGCATGAGAATTTAGTTTAAGACCATGTAGTGAAAGCAGAAAACATGATAGACCACTTGGCTACGGAGGTAAAGAAGAGACTATCGTCGTCCCAACAGGCCTTCGTTTATAGTATACCTGACACCCTACCTCTAGATGTAGTTAAGACAAAGGTATTAAACTCATGTGGTATGACAGGAATACACTGTGAGTGTAAGCGCCTCCGCAAAAAGTCAGCGCAGCCTAGCTGCCTCATGATCTTCAAGTTCACCACTTCATTTGGCGCCAAAAGATATATTAAACTACAAGGCCACGTAAGGTTACATAGCAGCTTTAAAAATATTGCCGTTGCACAAGACAAAACAGCGTCCCAACGCAGAGAATAAAAAAGGGGTGGTCTGACCAGTTCATTCCCTCTAAACACAGAGGTTGCTATGTGCACAAACAGACCATCAAAAAGTGCTGACATGGTCAGTACTTCTGTTGGATATACCTCTTCCTCGGCACAACAGCCTCAGTCAAATCTAGCTACGAGTGAACCTGATCCTTCAGTTGCTCGTGAAAAGTAAACCATTGGTCCCTCTCAGGCCACCATAAAGAGAGACGGCTGGGTGACAGAAAACTCAGAAGTTCGGCGAAACCTCACCATCTAAAGCTAAAACGTTTTCGGAGGGGGACCATTTCAGGAGCGTGCTTTCTAACGACGGAGAAGAATATTTCATAGCTAAGACACTAGCAATACACGAACCCAAAGGGCGAGTTTTCCGTCAAACCCCTTTTTTCAGGAATGTGTGCCACGACAACTCGGGGCTGCGTCACACGAGACACTCCTTCGAACCACATCCCTTTAATCACAGGGGTTACAACGTGGTGCCGAGTAGCTTACCAAACGCTCAAGTGTCCTACATACTACAAACACCTAACAACTGTTCAGCCGTGCATCTTAATGGTCCTAGTCAATACTGTGGGAACAGATGTACACCCCCTGTAAGGAACTTTCCCACTCATGAACTCTACCAAGATTTTTTTCGGATCCCCTACAATATGTACGAATCATGGCATATATGCTCGTTCGACCCCCTGAGAACACAGGGCTGGAACCAATTTCCTCGACTTACACCGGTCATCAACCATACCTTACGCCAACAGTAAAGAAGAGGTGCACGTTAGCAACCTATAAATGCCGTGAAAAACTAAGTAATCATATACTTGTGAGAGACAGAAACTCAACGGTCACACCGGCACACCCCTGTCACATCCGAGACATAGGTAGTGCATCGTCTAGAGAACTGAATACCACAAATTCTTCCTCTTACCGAGGCTTAAGAGACATAGAAAGTTACTTTGCAAGCCATAGTAGCCTTTTCACGTTTCTAATCATTAACGCCCGCTCGTTACTTAAGAAAATATCCATCTTAGGACAGTAGTTTTGCTAGCCAAACCCGCTGCATTATTAGTTACTGAATCATGGTGTACTGACTCAATCCTAGACGTGGACCTGTATAGACAGTCATGCTCTGTATCGCGCTAATCGTGACCACAAGCGTGGTGAAGGCTGTTTGATCTGTGTGTGTAGCCTTGCTACCTCAAATAAGATTGAAGATGATATCTTCAATGGTCTGCTAGACTCACTTTGGATCGTTATAAAAGGTACCAACTACAAAATCCCCATAGGCTGCGTGTATAGAGCACCACGTTCAACAAAAGGAAATGATAAACTGATGGCTAGATCATTTGCCCACGCCGGATCCCTCACGGTTGACTTCAAACTGATTGCAGGCGACTTTAACTTACCTGAAGTTAGCTGCGAGGTCCGTCGCGACCCACAACGATTTGATGAAGTGCATGCTGTCACAGATATCTATGGCTGGAGGCCATACATTCAGCAACCCAAGCGTGGAGGTAGTATACTGGACCTACTCTTTTGCTGTGACATCATCCCTGTCACTACCCACGTTAGTAGTGAATTTTCTAACAGTGACAATAGGCTGGTATTCTGTTGCTTACCAATTCTTCCTCCCAATGAGAATGAACAACCTCCAAATTATACTCGGCATAGAAGCTATAAGAGTATAGAGTGGGAAGTACTCATCGAGCTACTCGGGTGCTCTCCATGGGATGACCACTTTACCACAGCCTCATTAACATACACACTCACTTCTCTACAGAAATATAGAGCTGTGTCTAGATACTGTTGCTCCTGTGAAAACAGTTAGGGTTCATAAGGAGCCAGACCCATGTATTCCCAAAAAATATTCCGCAATAAACTTCGGAAATTATCATCACATTACCACTCGTCGAAAGACTTCATGTCACTGCACTCAATTTGTGGGACTTACGAATCTATCAAGACACTACGTGCGAAACACGCAGTAAACGAAGAGATCGTCGCCCTCAAAAGTGGCTCTAGAATACACAAGTTGATATCCCTCCTGAGTAAACGTCTGCAGCCATCAACGGATGTAGCCTATTTACTACATAATGGGGTGGTACACAACGATCTCCTCAAGATCAGTGGACTGTTTAGCGAATCATTCGCTAATTTCAACTCTAATACCCTCAACTCCACTAGCTTTACTCCAATTACCGCTAGTTCATATACTGGAGTGGAGTTCACTGTCAAAAGTATCACTAAGGCTATCAAAAGCCTGAAACTATCGACAGGTACGGGGGTAGATGGCCTAAACTCAATAGTCATCAGAAACAGTGGTGATGATATGCCGCTGTTCTTGCTTAAGATATTCACACTATCGGTGGAAGGTGGAGAGTATCCTAGTGAGTGGAAAACTAGCTCCATAATTCCTTGCTACAAGTCCGGTGACAAAGCGAATGTTGGGGACTACAGACCTATCAACATAACCCCAGTCATCTCCCGAATCATGGAAAAAGTGATTAAGAGCGGCATGTCTGAATACCTACTTGGCGAAAATTGCATCACAAGGCCTCAGCATGGTTTCGTTAAAAACAGGTCTTGTGGTACTTGTCATTCCGACCTCTTCAACCTCATCACAAGTGGCCGTGAGGCACGTAAAATCGTCATTGCTCTATACTTTGATATATCAAAGGCATTTGACAAGGTGCCACACAGTATTCTCTTTGATAAGCTACAATCGATTGGCATCCAGGATCCTTTACTTCATTGGCTAAAATCATTTCTTAGTGATCGGAGCCAAATCATCAAAGTAAATTCTATGCACTCCACACCTAGGCTCATAACTAGTGGAGTAATACAGGGTAGTGTCCTTGGACCTTTGTTGTTCATAACTTATGTTAGTGGTGTGTGTAAGTGCTTCACTGTAGGGGAAACATTCCTATACGTTGACGACCTTAAGGTTGTATACTCATGTCACACCCATGAACTAGGTAATGCGCTGTCTACTGTTCAACAAGAATTAGGTGAAGTTGCTAAATGGTGTAACGAGTCCCATCTCCAGTTCGACATTGATAAATGTGGTTGGCTCAGCATAGGCAGCGATAACCCAGATGTGTCTCTCGAAGTATGTGGGCAAAAACTACCTAGACGTTCTTCAGTGCTAGGTCATGGTCTCAGATATTCCAGTGACTTAACATTCTCTGAACAGACGGCTTCTATCACATCTAAGTCACGTAGACTCCTTGGATGCATCGTCCGTAAGTTTTATAGCACTGAATCATAGGTCCTACTCTACAAAGTGAGCATCCGCCCAATTTTGGAGTACTGCCCGTCTGTCTTAAATGGCCTTCGTTTAAGCGACAAGGGAAAAATTGAAGGAGTACAACGTCACTTTGCACTGAGAACACTGGGAGCTGACTGCAGCCTAGACTACATTTCGAGATGCGACATGCTGGGACTGGAACCTCTCTGGAAGAGGGAACTTAGAATGAATCTTATATTTTACCATAGATTACTTCGTAAGCAAGTGCACTCATGTGGCCCGGAAATAAATAGTTGTAACATCTACTCACTATCTGCGTAATCACAACCTATTAGCGGGAAATGAGTGTTGTAAGACCAAACTGCGAAGAAACTTCTCCATCAATAAGTTCTCTCACATCTGGAATAGACTTACTGAGGAAATACGTACTGCAGGCACATTATTTAACCCTCTTTCTGCACTTAATAAACTCCTAACAGATGATCAGTCTATCACTCGCCCAGGCATTATATATAAGTTCTGGACTAATGAGAGCATACTAGGACCTCTAAACGTATAGAGTAAAGCTATCATAAATCTCAAGTACTTTTTACCTCAATGGACTCATGAAGGGTGTTTGATTACTGGTCCATCTGGTCGGATTGTGCAGTACAAATACATAACCAGTGCTCCCTTTAAGTTTACCAACAAAAACTGACCACCTAATAACTCGTGTGAACTTCATAGAAGAAAAAAGGAAGATTCGTTCTCATATGAGTAAATTAAAGTTTACAGATGGCTCGAATAATCCTAAAAAGACAAGAACTTCTCTCCTACCAGTTTGTTTTACGTGGTATTTCATTGTCCAGTTTCTCCTTGCGCTTTCTTTTCTCTTCCCTTTCCAGCATCAGCCTGACGAGAAAGTTCTAAGCATTAGTTTGATCGAAAAGTATCAACTTACTGGAAATCCTACTTCACACCTAATACTGGGAACTGATGTTAGAGGTATCCAACTGGCTAGCCCTGATTTCCCATTTTCCTCTTTCTTGAACAGCTTACCAACCGACTCACCTCCCTACCAGTACCCTAAATGCTGCCACATACAAAACCTCAAGCACAATAACTGGTCTCAGATTTCTGGTCCGTGACAAATGCAGCGGAAATCTGGATGAACAATCAAACTCGACAGATCACTTTACCTAACAGCAACACATCCATAATAATGCTATGTAACAGATTTCTCTAGTACCTTGTCTTGTATCAATCCATCTCATAGAAGTCAATTAATAGCCAATGTATCTCCTTGACAATGTTGCATACTTTAATGTGAATTCATAGACTTAAGTCCATGAAGTTTTGCACATGTGTAATATTTACCACTGTTGAACGACGATTCTTCCACTCTTTAATTACTTGCACCACAACAA